CAATACCGGACTCTCGATTTTAGTACCGTCTTGCCCCTGTATGGCATACTCTTCCCGTTAACAACGGAGTCGTGCCGGTCATCTGTCTGTTCTGGAGAAAATTTTGAATTGAAATAACGCGATTGTAGTTAATCGGGGTCTCCCGCCTCTAACGTTTCCATATCTAGTCTCGACGTTAATCTATCTTAATGTTTCCCAAAACGGTTCCTACGTATCCCTACGTGTCTTTGCAACCTCCGATAGGGTCAGTGGCAAATTAAAATTAATTTGGGAGCGCGTGGACAACGTCGGGGGGGTCCGCGAAATGTTTAATAAAAAGTAAAATGGTTGTGACCTATTTTTACTATTATGAAAGTTAAAAATAAATAGTAGTTTTTAGAGTAAAATATAAGTATAGACGAGTATTGTACTGTACATAAAATACAAATAACGACAAGCATTGCAGGGTGGGAGCCGGGCCGACCGCGGCCGCCTACGTACACGGATCGACGTTACCAAATTTGGCTACTTTTCTTTCTATTATTTCAAAGGACTTAACAAATCACAGTTATTTAATTTAGAAGTCGACTAATGAGTAAGAAGCGGTTTCTTTATTAAACTAATATGTGCATTTTGGGTTCATCGATACCCTTTATCAGTTGGGTTTTTTTGTTTTTGTCTTAACGCAGGGGGAAGCGTTATAACTTTTCCATATTAAATTTATCATAGAAAATATTGATACAATATATCTTTTTTTAATATTTTAAATTGTTTTTCTAGTCTACTTTCCATGTAAACATTTTTTATCTATAATTGTTTCTTTCTTTTTTTCCTTCCATGTTGGTTTAATAAAGAAATTTATTAGTAAACTTACAAATTAAATAATTGCGTGTGTTTTCTTAGCATAATGTTGCCGTTGAGAACCGATCACACGGGAACACTTTTAGTGGAAGAAGGGGTTTATTGGTAGGAACGGATATGCATTTCGGGCTTAACGCTCCTCTTCAGTCCCGAGATTACAGTGACAAGGCGAAAAAAGGGGGAGGAAAATGGAGCTAAAAATCTCTCAACGGCAACATTACGCTAAGAAAACACATATAGTAAGGAGAACAGGAAACAATCGAGATTATATTATATATAACAGTTTTCATAATTTTAAGGTAATAACGATGTAATTAAAAATAGGGATATCGAATTCGAATTCGTAGAATCGGGTGCGTAAATTTGAGTTTTATTTCGTCGTATTAGAATTTTTAGAAGAAAATATTCAGTTTTATTCTGCACCAGGATGTAAATTTAATTGACGTTGGTCATAAACAGAGAACGAAGAGAATATATTTTAACAGGTTATTAGAACTTTTATATTGAGGAATGTTTTTAAAATTCTTATAATCATTCGTGTAGCCAAGGTTTCGACTATAATTGTTTCTAAATATTTGCATTATTGGGCTGCAATTTGAAATAAATTATAGCTCTATAAATTCCCACCGCCGTCCGTCCGTCTGTCTTTCCTTAATATCCAGAATGGAGTTAGATAGACATAAGTCGAGACTAGAGACGGAAAGCTTAGAAGCGGGAAGCCCGATTAACTATATACGAACTTCCGGTCTAGACCGGAAGTTACGTTATTTCAGTTCAAAAACGTTCCCCGAATGGGCATAAATTCTGTATATTAATTTCTAATGAGCCGGAAAAGCTTTAGTTAATCGTCTCGCAATCGACCGCGGTTCGAGTTTCTTCCTCGACGGATTATTGTTTCGTACGGCGATAATATACACCGTAAAAGCTATTAAGGGGTAGAAAAGACAACTGTTGACTATTAGTGTCGCCATCTATTGTCATAATTTCAATACTACTAACCGCTAATGATAAATATTACACATTTTATACTCGAATTCGTAATTTTAATCCGTTGGTGTCGGCAATTTAAACCATTTAAAGCGATAATTCGAATCTTCTTCAAATAATTACTATTTTCTTATAATCCGTTTGCTTTTTTCCCGTGTATCAATTAGCGAATATACTGTTACGTCTAACAGTAGATCGATAATTAATACACATAACTATTCGAGGAAGTATTTGACTTAAGATTTAACAACTTCTAAAGAAATATAAACTCGTCGACGATTTGATTCGAAAATAATAATTTATTCCTGTTAAACGCGCGAAGAAACCTCGGCCAGGTGCGAACCCGCGACCAACTTCCCAGTTCTTCGGATCAATTTACCAAATGTTCTGTAGTTTAATCCATTCGGCCTAATGATCTATAAAGAAAATCATCGTAGACGTGACGGACAGCAACCTAACGTAAAAACTATTATACACGATAATTTAAAGTAGCTTACGGGTGACCACATCCCTCTGTCTACATCTAAGCGAAGAATAGCAATCTATTATATTGCGATACGCCGTACAGATTAATAAACTTGTACGATTAAAAGTACAGTACAGTGGTACCGCGGTATACGTCTGCTTTAGAATACGTCCAATTCGGAATACGTCCTGTTTGGACGAAACAAATTTTGCTCGGTATACGACTTACTTCAATTATACGCGCCATCTATGAACAAGTAGCACTATCGGTGTATTAGACCAGACTAGACGTTCGCAGTGCCACAGTTTATAACTTTGTTAAATTTCTTCTGATTTTAATTTGTAAGTAAAATTTTATTATTTTTATTAATCATGAATTGCGAAAAGGCAAATGAAAAGCGACAGAAAACTAAAAAAAATGGCTAGAATCACAATGGAACTGAAAAAAAGAGATTGTTGAGAAATATAAAGGTGGCACGAGTGTTCGAGATTTTAACGGTTGCATATCGCATTCCGAGAACGACCATATCGACAATCGTGAAAAATAAAGACATTATTAATTAAATCTGCTAACGTTGCGAAAGGGGTTAAATCAATTTCTAAACAGAGATCAAGAATATTAGATCATGTGAGAAATTGCTTTTGCTTTGGATAACTGAAGAACAGTGTGCTAGAGACAGCATATCGGAAGTAATTATTTGCGAGAAAGCTAAAAAGATACATGCTGATCTCATGAAAAATCAAGCAGGAAAGCGAGGTGTTTAAAGCCAGCCATTTTTTTCATGAGAACGGATTAATCATTTTTACATTACTTCTTATGGGAAAGGTTGGTTTGGTATACGTCCAATTCGGTATAAGTCCAAACATCAGGAACGGATTAAGGTCGTATACCGAGGTTCCACTGTAGTATGTCGTTGAATTTTACTAAAAATTACATAAGCGAGGAAAGAAACTTCGCAGCCAAAACCACTCCAGACTATAAAAATAGAGATTAAGAATATTCCCTCGACGAAATAATAAACATTATCTAAAATTAAAATACTTTACAAAACCTAAAAAAAACCCGTAGAATTACCAAAATCAATTTGCCCGTTACGAGTCGATGACATTAAAAAATTATTAATAAATAATAATACAGAAGCATCTAGAGTGAATGATATTCGTGTAAACTTGTAATGTTGCCAAATGCGGATATAGAATAGGAAAAACCCATTTTTTTAAAAATTTACGGGCAGAAATTATTATTTAGGGGCGGTTTTTGTGATGTCATCGATACGTAAGTGTTATTATAGCCAGAAATAGATACATAATATATATTCGTCGCTAGTTTTATTTACAAAAGATAAATTCGAATGACTTAATTTATTAAATTCTATCTGCATAAGATTTTCACATTTATATATATATATATATATTTTCTTTTTACTAAGTTATGTCGCATCATTTATCACCATTATCTTCTGGACATGCGGTCATCCACGTAATACGATTCTGTTTTTCGTCTTTTTTTCACTTAGACTTATCGATTTTTCCCTCTTATATATAATATAGAGCCTATAGTGTATTGAGTTCTTTTATGTTCCATATAAAGACATTTACACGAAGAAAAATGACTTAAAATATGTTATAACTTATACATAACGGAATCTATCATAAATCTCTTATCTAGTTAACACCTTTTGAATATATTACAACGAAAATACATAATAGAAACGTCTTTGTTTTGTGTAAATATTAATTATATTGTAAATACAAAGCTCGGTCTATGTCAGACCCATATTATTCTAACGAAAGCGTTACTCTTTGTTTTCGTCTCGACAAAAATCAAAGAATAAATATTAAACTAATTATAGCACAAATGAAGTGTGTAAAAGTTTAATTATATGCCTAATAAAAGAGCATTAAGACGTGGAATTTAATCCACTTACATAAATAAACTTTGTAACACGGTAGTAAACAGTAATTTCGGTTGTTAACGAACGAATTACAGGCGAAACTCGATACAGTTTCCACACCGTAGGGTTAATCGGGACTGGCGAATATTGTTAAAACAACGGATTAGAAAGAGAAAATGACGGCGAGAAGAAGTCTAGCAATAAAAATTTTTGATGGATAAAGATGTTGAGTTTTTTTAATAATCGATAGAGAAGTTTCCGGCCATGCATCATCCCTCTCCTTGATCAGTTGCGATATTTAACGACTTTTTCGGTGCCGTTTTCTTCTTATTCTACTCGTAAAAAAATCTTTAACGACTTTTTAAAGCGCCACGGTAACCGGAGATACACGAATATTATTTTAAATAAGTCGATAATTCTCGAATACGACAGAAAACTTCCATCTAAACAACAAGTATCCGACCGTAGAATTTTAAGCTTACGTTAGAGATTAAAACCATTGATAAAGACGAATTTAACAAAGTAAATCTTTCTTAACTCGGCCTAGTTTATTAACTTCTATTTAAGAAACGGGACTTAATTTATGTTTGGAAGAAAAAGTGGGAAATTCCTGGACTCCACTAGAAATTGGACGGTCGGATGCCGATGAAACTTTCATGGCTACGGAAAGATACAAACGGTTAAACTTCTAAGATAACATTAACGTGACGTCATTTCACCCCTCGGAATTCATTGGAGGAACCCGGGGTTGCGCAATGCACGCGACTTAATAAAAGTTCCGGTATCCCCGTGCCCGGTTCAGAAAAGCGACGTGTCTCGTCGACGCTACAGCGGCGGCAACAACATTCCAATAAGTAAACACCGTGGTGAGATGCACTGGCAGATCGCTTTCTTCCTTCTATTTACCGGACTTTTTTTAATTAAAGGAGATCCGACGACGAATGGGTGAGACGTCTGTTAATAATACATACCTTTTTCCCTACTTTCGTCCCCTCCGTCGCGTACGAAACGAGTAAATAATGCATATTACTTACTTTAATATAGCAGAAGTTAGAGTGTAGCAATCCCTGTAAAAATTTTATAGTGGCTGCCTAGAATCTTCAATCGTCCGTAAAGCTTTCCGGCCGTTTTACAAAATGAAATTTATAAAATTCCTAGATTTTATATTAAAAGAATATGCAAAATAATTTTCCAGCCAGAAGTTCTTAGGGAAACCACCCAATTTCATCCCTTAAGTACCGTCTACCTCGTAAATGCTAATTGTTCTCCGCTCGTCGTCGTGTTAATTAATTTTTAATTCTAATTGGCTATGGTTTATGTAATAAATTAAAATTTGCATAAATTATTTAAGTAGTAAAAGATATATTAATTTATTTGTTGGACGAAAAATGAGATTTTCCAACTGATCTTTACTTAATTATCTTGTCTTCTCCCAAGAAATGTTATCAAGTGGAGTGGAGTAAGTTTTATTTTCATATTTAATATAATAAATTATAAAGTTGTAAGGGCGATTAATATTCATTTTAACGTCGTTTTATTCAAATTTCTACTCGCCAAACCGGGTCGAGTTTTATTTTCATTTCCATAGAAGACCTAATTCTGCTTAATTGTCGGTAATTTATATAGTTCGACCTTGAGTTTGAATAAGTACTCGCGCCATTCTGGTGGCCGAACGAATCGATTTGGAGGAGCACCCCATCGAACCGTGTCTGGCAGCGATGTCTGACGTCTCTGTCAACGTTACCTCGGTTCGTACATTTGCCCGTCCTAATAAAAATCAAATTCTTGCGGTAATATACGAATGCCGCGAGTAATTTCAAATCGCGGGCCTATAAATTCCTACTAACGTCCGTCTGTTGTCTCGAGAACGGAGTTAGACGAAAGTCGAGATCAGATATGAAAATCTTAGGGGTAGGAGGCCCCAAATACTATATACGAACTTCCGGTTTGGATCGGAAGTCGCGTAATTTCAATTCAAAAATTTCCCCGTTACATAGATGCCCGGCACGGCTCTGTCGTTATAAGGAAAAGTGTGATGTACAGGGGCAAGACACTACTAAAATCGAAAGCGTATATTTTACATTAAATTAATTAAAAATTACGAAGTTAAAAAAATTAAGATTATTCATTAATTTTAAAGTAAATCTATTTTAAATTTCACTTAATTATATTCTTTACAAAACAGCAATCATCGTAATAAACTGAATAAACTCGGAACCGCACACAAAGGGCATCACAAATCGCAGGATCGCTTGGCTTTTCTAGACGAAATGCTTATAGGATATGATAAAAGAGCGTGGCCCACCTACGGTACAGGTTAGTTTTTTTTATTTTTAATTTTTAATTTAATATATTTTATAGAAAAATAAGTGAGTATTTTCTAAAATTGTAAAGGAAATAAATGAAATGTCCAATCTCATAAAATGTATGGCAAATAATGCTGACGTTACGCTAATGTCTAGAAAGAAATGCAAATTTTTTTCATTATATTTTTAGCCGATTGAAATGTGTTTTCCAGAAGGTAAATGCTTAATAAGTGATTCTAAACGTGGCATAATTGCGTTATTTTTCACCGGAGATTTTTCATTAATTTCGGATATTTATTAATATTTTTTTGTATCTAGACTAAGCGTGGTTTTGATACCATCTTTAATAATCCCTAATGTATTTATACCTTATACTCGTAACGATTTTTAGCGCGTTTTTATATTAATTATTAACTTTAAAAATAAATTAAACTTACTCGCTGTCTTTTCCAAGTTTTTTTCCTATAAAAAGGTGTGGATAAATGTAACATAAATCGGTGGCGCGTTATCCTAGGGGCGGAAGGGGCCCCAAACCCATCTTTTATAAGAAAATATTTCTCTCGGAAATTCCCCGGAAGAAAAATGTCGACACTACGTAGGGTCCTCCTAATTCCAGTTTGCCCGATCCCGGTGAAGTATTATAACGCCCTACTGGTATATATGCATAAAAACATTTTCTAAAATAAAATTATATTGTTGGATACGGAGCGTGGTGAATTGGCCACGGAGTTATCGGCGATGCCTCTCGACGGGACTTCCTACGAAATACTGGCCCCTATTTAGGTGTTACTAACGTCAAGAAATCCGGAAAACTCCACGTGACCGGGTGCGAATCCACTACCGGTGTTCGGTGGCTTTATCCACTCGGTGGGCTCCGGGCGATACGTACGTTTTAATGGAGGAAATACGATGCATTTGTTATTATTACTTTTATTTACCTACCAAATATACACACAAGAAAAGTATAATTTACAGGAACAAGACAGTAATATTTGAGATGGAAAACATCTATTTTAAATTAAATAAATTAAATTTTTTTCTCGTTTACTTATAAACTAAAAGACACCCTACGATACAAATCGTTCCGAATTAAAACGTTTTCTATACACTCGATTTACGTATAAATGTAGCCCGTACATTTTCTTTCTTTTTTTCTAATTTCGATGTTTAGTCTGGCGAAAATTCGAAGGACACATTTGTACGCTTCTAAAAATTATTCGATTTATTTAAAGACGAGTTAATCCCATTGATTTATATTTATATCATCGATATTGTTAGCGCGTAAATAAAAAAGCCAAGAGAAAAAACTTCCACCGATTGCCAACATCATCAAAGAGAACCATTAATACGGAATCATCGAATTGTAGGAATATTTGGTGGAAGAAAGGCATTTGCCTACTGTTGTTCTTGGATTACGTGTTTAAAACGTAATCGGGACGTAGACAAATTTAAAAGGAATATTTCCATCAATTGATCTATATTTATGTTACTTACGGGTTGTTTATAAACTCGTAATAAAATATTACTAACGAATTAATAATTAAAAGAAATTTTGGTAATCGGCAATAGAAGGAGCGATCTTTCTTTATTTTAAAGCAAGAAAAAGAACGGAGCTTCCTTCGAAGATTAATTTGTTCGCGACGAGTCCGAGCGCCGAGTAGACTGAAACAACTAGGACAATCCATTGTTGTTTACTGTCGAGTAATTCGGAATCAATTCTCCGTCCCAATAATTTGTTAACTCCGTAATAAGATCTTTTCGATTGATTAAAAACACCGCCTACGAAGATTACTCTACGTAAAAAAATCAAATAATGCCTCTGCCAATAATTGTACGAACTTCTACCAATGCGCTTGTTTTCTTAATTCTAAATGATTCATCCAAGTAATTCGCGGTTTCGATTTTTATTTAATGATTCGTTTAAAAGGGTGATTTACGGAAGAAGTGGGGAGTCGGTTGGGGCACGTCTCCCCTTTTCGCTCGTATCACCCTTTTCCTAATCGCCCGAGGGGGTCCCAAATTTGAGTAGTTATTGCGAATTATTCTGTTTAATTTTGTAAAAAGTGAAATGTTATTGGAAGTAAATTTACATTAGAAAGCTTTTCTTCCCAAACGTAAAGCGGAATTTGAAGGAATTGTAGACCTGTAAATGCCCACTGTCCGTACGTCCCTTAATCTGGAAAACGGTGTCGATAGACGAAAGTCGAGACATACACGGACGATCGATTTCTGTCGTTGTCGGGATAAGTACGATATTACGGGGGCGAGACACTACTAAAATCGAGAGCATATATTTTAAATTATGTAATTAAGATAACTTTTTATTTATTCAAAAGCTTCGTATCTTTACTGGTATAAGAAGCGGCGTGGAAGTCATTACTATTTGTATTTATAGTATATAATGAAAACTATTTAACATAACTCATACGGCGAAACGGAAGACATTTCCTGAAGAATTTATACACGTTTCGAAATGTTTTCGTGCAATTTCCGTTTTACCGTGGCTTTCGGATCGCTCGACGTACGAATTATCCCACGCGTGGCAAAGAGGACACGTCCGAAGAGAAAACATATTTCGATCCTTTTTCGGAACTTATAACTGGTTTTCGACCGACATTTAAACGGATCAATGGTTAATTTTAAATGGAACTTTCACGCCAAACAGAAATATCACTTAAGCGTATTCGAATTTGCCATAATCACCGTAAAGAACAATAGGATGTTGGCTTTCTCCTCGCGATTCTTTAGTCATTACGTTGTTTTTTATCGGATATTCTAGTCCCACTGGGAGATAACTCGTCATTATTATAAAAGTCAGATGCGGAGATTTCTTTTTTAAATCGAATTAACTTACGTCGAAATTTTCTTAAAATACTTGGAAATATAACACGGCTTACGTCTCCCATTATCGTAAATTGAAGCTAGTAACGTTATTCGAGTGGAGATAGAGTCTATATTATATACTTTTTTAAAAAATAAGATATTCTCCAACACGATTTTGAGATCCGAAACCAAAATTTATCGGTTGTTACGCGCTTATCGTCATTCTTTATTCAAAATATTATAAACAATATCATTAATAACGGGAAAGGAGGATCGGATTTAACGATCGGATTAGGAAATAAAAAATCTTAATACGTAAGGTTTATTACGCGTGAATAATGGAATATTTCAATAATTATAAACTAATTAATCGTTCGATAATATACGAATTGAATTTAGTCTATACGTAAGGATAAATAGCCATTATCTATAGACTAAACAATTAAATTAATTAATTTTCGGCGCGTTTAACGGTTATAAAAACCGTTAGACGGACACTACCCGCGCTTTCACTCCAAATTATTTATACCGACTTCATTCAACTCGGGCGCGATTTATTGCCCGCTTTCGTTACGTAAAGTTCGAAACTTTATTTAAGTAATCTCTTCGAATAATTAAAATTTGAAAGGAGACTCGTTCGTTGTTATTCTTTTCTTTAACTAAAAATGGCAGGCCGGAATAAAACCAAAGGTTCTAAAATTCATATAATAGCCGCGTTTATAAACAATACGCTATTGAAATTACCGTGGAGTACGTTTAAAACTTTTTGTTTATTAAGTATTGTAGCTTCCGGAGCCGCTACGCCTCGAATTAGTAGTGGCTTGCCCCCGTACGTACGTCATACTTTTCCTTTAACAATAGAGTCGTTCCGGTCGTCTAATACCTTTCGGAGAAGACGTTTGAACCGAAATAACGTGACTTCCGGTGCAAGTATATAGTTAATCGGGGAGGGTCCTACTCGTCTACCCAATACCGTTCTCGAGATTAATGAAGGATAAAGTAGGTCTACGAATTCTTTTTGGTGTAAAAAATTAGTTTCTCCATTAGTTCAATAGCGAAGATATTATTATTTTTTATCGCCACGACGGGTTTGGCGAATGGAGGGAGAACGACTACAGTAAATCATATATTTATCTACAGTATCTGTTGTAAGTCACTCACCCTAAAGATAGGTTAGTAAACTCCTTCGAAGAAGTAACGTCAGTTGTTCCTTTTATATTGTATTATTGATGGATTGGGTGTTTTATTTGTTTCTATTCGTACCACAGAATTTTATCCAATGCAAAAATTCGAACTAATCGCTGGATCGTCGCGTTTATTACAAATACTCCTAGGGATTACTTCTATACTCTTTGGTATAAGGTATGAATCTCATTAACTAACTCCAAATCCTAGTTTCTACCGGTTCGATCAACGAATCGACCGACTTCCATTTATCCTGGTAAAGTTTCGAACTTTAATTGACAAATTTGGAAAGTTTTCTCGGCCGTTAAAATATATTAAATGACTTTTAAAATAAAATACCACGTAAAAGCTCGACTTTAGCCATCAATTTTTGAGAATGAAAATTAATTTGGTGGTAAGAGTTTATATCGACGTGTAAACGCGCAAACTTTTATCTGGCGAAATACTCCAAATACGTCGTCAGTTTTATTAATAGAATCGCGCCATGCCACGTTTTAATTCCGTAAGCCGAATAAGTTCTTACGAAAAATTACAATAAAGAAGCTACAAATTTAAAATGAAATAAATCAGATATCATTTTTATACACTTTGATTATTGACGAGTCTTTCCGTACTCAAAACACTCGTAAACCGGCGACCGGTTGCTCCACACCTCATTATCTCTCCACCCCCTGGACCTTTAATCACCAAAATTTAATAGCATCGATTCCCCTAATACGCAAACCTCCCTGCAAAATTTCAGAAATTTTCGACAAAAAGCACGAGAGTTATCGAGCTTCAAAGAGGGTGAAGAAAATCGTGTACTTACATCCATACGTACAGAAATTACCCCTGAATTCTTTTGTATTTTTCGACGTTTTAAGGTATTCTAAGTCCAAAAGGAAAAGTAAAAAGAGAAAATAGCAAAGAAATTCGCTAAGTTGTCGGTGTTCTTTATCTATTGACCCGTTATAAAGCCTATAATTTCTATAAAAATAATAATTTTTTACTTTCCCACTTACGTTTGATACTTAATATTTACGCTCGAAATCGATAAAAATTGAACGAAATTTGTCTTAGTATTAAATGTAAATATTAAGTATAATTAAAGTAGTTTTAGTTAATCTATTTAAAAAACACGCGTATATTTTTTATATAGTTTTATATATTTACGTTTGGTTGGGGGTGGAAATCGTTCGTCTTCGGGCGCTTCCTATTTGTAATATAATAAATAAATAAATAAATCGCGCGGCAATCAGAATTAATACGATATAAATAAATAAAATAAGAAGAAATCACGCGGTGGTATTTTCAATCCGTACTTTATAAGAGGCGTAAAAGGTTAAAGTCGTCTCTTCGGACTTAACGTATTCGATAATTACGAAGAATAAAAGTCTTTGGCACCGTTTCAACTTCTCGAAAGGCCTTAGACGATTTATTATTTCGCGCTAGTAGACGATAATAACTATAAGAAAACATACGGGGTGGTCCAAAAGTCAGTTAAATCGACAGTTCTCCGTTAACGATCCGTTCGGCGCAACAGGCGACCGTTCTAAACCGTCGTTAAAACGATATTATTAATATATATATCTCGGTAAACTAACTTTCGGGCCACCCTACACCGATTTCACGCGTGGTTCAATTTTGTTTAGCGCATAAGTTATACGAACGAACGTAAACCCCGACGGATTAATGTATTTCGAATAAATAACTTAATTTAATGTCGAAAATTCTTTTAAATAACTTATAAAATTACTGAAAATACATTTTTTTAAAAATTATTTTCTTTTTAAGCGAAGGCGGACGAGTAGACGACATTTCCCCAATTCCCCCAGCGATAGTCTTCGACTGCCAACAATTTACATAAGTCGGAAACGTTAAAAATATGTTTTAAATTTTTATACTTCTATATTTAATATTAATTGCTATTAAAAAAAAGTTAAATTTAATTAAAATAAAAAGTAATACCTCGAAGGATTTACGAGATTATTGGCGCATAAAACGAGACGTGGTCGTTGGTGGACCAGGATAAACAAACTTCGGGTATTTTAGTTTATTTATAAAAAAAATAAAGTTTCAAGTTAGGCATTAAGTAGACCTTTCTGGTTATTTTTAACTACTTTAAATTATCCCTTTTTTTTGGCATTTTTTAGCCAGAATCTTCGATATTCTCGGCAATACAAATAATAAACTCCGATACTCAATTAGCGCCGACGATATTTTAATATTAATTTATCAAATTATTTAAAACTCGAAATTAGTATTTAGTCCGCACGGGAGGAAACGAATGGCTACTGAATATTTTATACAATATTTATGCGCGTAGAATAAAATAAACTTCCTTACAATGATACGTAAAATTAATGATTTATTTTAACAAATAAAGAGAATAATGTTTATTCTTAAATCTTATATTTGTTTACGTATAAACGAATACCCGGTCGACCGTCCCGTAAAATCATCTGGGAAACTCGTTATTTCGCTCTATTTTCCAATTAGTTCGCTCTCTGTTTAATCTTAAAGCTAATAAATGTATTTATAATCTTATTAAATTTTTCTAATAATAATAAAAGTAAATTTTAATCGTCGAATAATATTGCCGACATTCGTTCTTTACGCCTTGTAATTTACATTTATAAAGTTCTCTCTCTTAAAAACACGGGAATTAAAATTTAATAGACGAATCTTTTAAATAAATTATCAGTTTTTAAAACGATTAATTAATATACAGTCGACCCCCCATAACACTGTTGATAATTCCGTTTTATATGAATTCCACGTTGTACGAGTCACTTAGGTTTTACAAATACGTGTGCCTGGCTGCGAACGGCTCACGTATTTGTAAAATCTAAGTGATTCGTACAACGTGGAATTCATATAAAACGGAATTATCAACAGCGTTATAGGGGGTCGACTGTATAAACCGGAGAGTAAGTAATTGCCGGAGGTGTATGTAAAATGCAACCTAGTTTTCCATTATTTATATATTTTTTATTGTAGTTACGAGTATTATCGACCCGACTTAGTGACAAAAGCATTTTTCCCAAACAAACTTAACCATTAAAAATTTCGTTTCGAAAAATTCCTTCCTTTCTATTAACTACATTTAACGTATTAAAAGTCGAGTAACGCGACTAAATTCTTACATTCGTATTCTAAATTCGAATAAATTATTAAAACTTTCTCGAGATATTCTACTAATTGTGTTTCGGGCATTTATTTCGAAAGGGAAGGCACGTTTCTCTACTTCTTATTATCATTCGTAAAGTCACCGTCCCCGAGAGATTCGTTGTTATTTATTGTTAAATTACTTTAAATTATTACAAATTTGAAAATATTAAAGATTTATTTATTTTTTGTTATTTCTGCAGGAAAACCCACTTTAGTAACTGTTAATATGTACGTGAATAGCATCGGATCGGTAAATGCCGCCAGTATGGTGAGTTTATTTACGAAACGCTTTAATTAAGAACCAAGCGCGTGTCTCCGAGTGTTCGTTGTTATAATAATTACACTCTCGACCATCGAAGACGTTTATAACGATTTATTTACGATTATATTTCAAACACGTTGAGAAAATCGGGCGTCGATTTCGACCGGGAGCTATTTAAAAAGTAGTGGGGAAAACACCGGAGACATTGTCATGTAGAAGACATTGGCCACGCCACGTAATTCGCTTTTACTCTTCGAATTTATAATTTCTCGCTCGCGCGACCGCAAATGTTTAAAATCGTTAGATATTCCGCTCACGCCGTACAAAGTCATTATTACCGAGAAAGCGGGAGCGAAAAGCATTAACAAAATGGGAAGCGGGCAAGCGCTTTTTTTCTATAGAAACAATCGAATGGCTCCGGGGAGAAGCCGCACAAAAGATCAATTTTTTTATTAAAAAAAAAATAATAATAATAATACTTAAATGGCGTTTAAAAGTTTAAAAATTAGTCGGTATCAATTTTTGGACGGAACCGGCTGGCATTTATCATTCGATTCGGCCGCTGGCTTTGTATTATTAAAGTAGATGTAGTTTACGCTAAATTACGTGGGGACGGACGGAAATCCGAACGCCACGCGTTACGCGCTTGGCGTATTAACCAGATGGGTAGCGAAAGTAACCCAGGCATAAACGTGTATTTCGATTTTTTATCGTTTTAGACTTATTTGCCATATCAAATAAATCGGAAGGTTCGATTATCTATCAGTTCTGAACGCCTATTTGCAGGAATTCAGCATGGACATATATCTGCGACAGTCGTGGTTGGATCACAGGCTACAGTTGTACTTATACGGAACGAACACGACGATTACCATGAACGGAGAAGATCTGATAGAAAAGATTTGGAAACCCGATTTATTTTTTAGGAACGTGAAAGAGGCCGATTTCCATTACGTCACCGTGCCCAACAAACTGTTAAGAATTCATCCCAACGGAGACATCTTATTTAGCATGAGGTACTGTACGTAAGTAATTTACGCGAAGCATCCTTCGACCACGGGTTGGAGTAGACGTTTAGACGATCCTCCGCGGTGCGTAATAAACACGTTACGAACGTGTTTATTACGAAGAATAGAGCGCGCGATCGTTCCGCGGCGAAGAATAGAGCGTGCGATCGTTGGATAATACCTTTTCCGCCGGTAAATTTAAAGCCACCGCCAGAAAATTGCCAAAGAAAATATAGAATTTTCGGCAGATAAGATATTTGGGAAATTCTTAAAGCATCATCGTTTTAAAAATTGCCCGGCATTTCCGAAAAGACATTTCTATAATTCCGAATTTACTATTTGGGCATAAACTACGAGCAGGGAACCTTATTTCTTCGGGCGTTGCGGGCCGAGCGACATTTTAAAGAAGGAACTTTATCGCAATTTCGCCTAAAGTCGCATTTTCTTAAATGTTCGTTCAAATTACACCGCCGAACTCCTGGCCGACGTTTCGCAGATAAAAGTTTTAAACCTAAATAAACATAAACGATTCCAAGTTGTTTACGGCCTTTAAGTAATAAAATATTCGTAACAATATTTCCTTTAAAGCATTTATAAATCGAACGGCACGCAAACTACCATACAATTTTTATACTACGTTTAAACGGTGTTTCGCCTTCTTCTTCCTTCGTCGATAAACAAATACTTTACCCTTTTAATCGCTCGAAATTATTCTTACCGATAAATATTCTCCGAATTTAATTTATATTCTACTCGACTATTTTTATAATCGTAAACATTATTATTATTATTATTTTCTTCGGTGTTGGAGGACAAAAGGAGGTCGCCTACTAAATATTTTAGGAGGGGAAAACGACGACGAAGATAAAACACGAGCGACTGGCGTAATCGAAGGGATTTTAAAAATCGTCCGCGCTACGGGAACTCGGCTATTCTATTGTTAAGCCCTCATCGATTAAACATAAAAATGAATTATCGGCGTTTACCTTGTAAATTAAGTTTAGCTTTCGAATATCTCTACCCTTTTTTCCCCTATAAAAAACGGCGACTATTTTGTCGCTTTATCAAATTATAAGAAATCGCCGGATTTTTAAAAAGTAATATTTTATCCGGGGGCGGAGAATGGCGCGTGCCGACTTTAAGGGAGGAAAAACGAATTTTTTAAGTGTGTAGAAAATGCCAGTATCTGGCTTTTGCATATTTTGTCGTAAAAGTCGAGTTTGGAAGCATTTCTAATGTGTCGCCACGTGGCAGAAGTATTTTTATAGACTCGGCGGTTCGTGACGTTAGATAACGGATGGTTTTGTTTTCGCCGGGTGACATTTAAACGCCAGAACGAAAGGCATTTCCCCCCCTCATTTTGGGGGGGGGCGGGAGATACATTTGTCAAAACGGCTAATAGGAAATGTTATTAAAACTGTTGGGCCGCGCTTTAATAAGTATTCGACGTTTCTATAGAGAATCCATACTTCGGTTACTCTAAAAATAGAGCGTAAATCGATTAATTTTTTGGAAATTTAAAATTAAAACGTCCGACCCAATTCGCTTCTTATACAAATTGAAATGGAAATTGCGGCGGTGGTGGCGTTACGAACGTCTTCCGTTAAATTTGGAATCCTTCACTCCCGGTTTTAATCGAAAGTTTTTCCGCCAAACACGGGTAATAAACACTTCTTTCGCTCGTTGCCAATAACGATACGCTGGCGGCGAAAGAAAAGAAAAGAAAATGGTAAAGCGTAACGACAAAAACTCGGCCAATACGACCGACAAATTCTGTAATAAAAACTATCAATCCGTAAGTGTAATTTCGTAGGAATTCGCCTCCGAGTATTATCATTCGCCAGGATTATTTACTGTTAAATAATTGATATTTCTAACGTTTACGCGTCTACGTGGAAGTGTTACGTAAAATCGATGCACCCGATACAAAATAGAAATCGTTTTAGTCTTCTCCAGATAAATTCCGAGTGTCGTTCGCTCCCTTTTACACCCGTCTTGGACGGAGGTAAAGCGAAACAATAGTAAAACAATTGTTATAATATCTTAGCGCGTATTTTAGTCGGAATCGGCTAACAATTTCCAGAATTGCCCGTAAGAGACGAGGAGAGCGATAAGCCAGAAATAAAACAGAAAAAACCGCGCTACCAATTTGGCAGGCTTTAATTCCTGGGAACGAAAGAATCAATTGTACCAGACTGAGCTTTTGTATTTTCCGCTTCTCTAATAGTAATTATATCCATTATAAAAGCGAAATTAAAAGCTTTAAAACAATAGCTTATTATAAAGTAAGTCGAATATTCGGGTCCGGATAATATATTTAGACTAATTCGATAATTCTTCTTTACATTAACACCGTCGAATTACTTATTTTCAGGTTAACTTTGAAGTTACACTGTCACATGATTTTCAAGCATTATCCTTTGGATACTCAAAAGTGTAACGTAGTGTTGGGACCGTGTAAGTGTTCGAATTTTTGTTTAAATTAATTTTACGACCAATATTTTAATACGTACCCTCGTCTAATATCGTATTAATTAATTTTTTTAGTAAAAGTAATTTTTAGAATAAAATTTCAACACATAAAATCGGATTTTTAATCTGTCACAAACGGCTTAGTTATTGTTTAAGTTAAACAAATATCATTGTTTAACTCCTAAAGTTTTAACGGTAAAACGGAAATTTTATCGGAAACACCAAGCGACGACGACGCTCTTTGTCCTATTATCGGCCCGTTACGTTATCTAGTGTGGAAATTTTACTTTAAAAACAAAAATTACCGCCGAACAAATTTCCCGTCGGCCCCGGAACTCGAAGGGTAGGAAATACTACAAATAACAACACCGAAAAAAAGATTATTCCGTCGACGGTTCGAAAAATATTTGGAATTTTGCCAGAAGTGGCGTTGGGGTGTAGCGGCTGGCACCCGTAAAGAGTTCTTTCCGGAATAACTCTAACAAATCGCCACTCGACTTAATTCCCATTAAGAAATTTAAGTTTAAGAGAAATTATTAGAAAAGGTAATTAATTAATTGCGATTGTAAACGTAGACGCTCAGACCATCGACCAAATAAGCATCAAATGGCAAGACAAAGACCCGATCGTTCTGGAACAACCGGTGGAGTTGTCGGAATTCGACATCGACAGATTCTACCACGGATCCTTTCTTCGTTCCATCGACACAGGTAAAAAGCCTTCCCTTAATCCTTAAATAAACAATTAAGTGGGTAACTTATCCCATTACTTTATTAAGTCCCGAGTTATTTTTAGTTAATTGAAGCGCTCGTTTATTATAACGACCGATTATTGTCCCACTAGAGAAGTTTACCAATCCGTATGGCTTATTATAGCGCCACGCTAGAAATCGCATCGATACGTCGCTAATTATTTAACAACGCGTACGGTATTTATAAATTAGAGTAGCCGTTAAGATATTTCTGTTCATTAATTTACGTAAAGGCGCGACTCGGCCTTTGGAAGAGACGGTAATTTTAAAATTCTTCCAGGATATAAATCACTTTAAAGCTTTACCTATTGCGGCTACGATGATTTATAGAGTTGTCGCGCGGTAACGGAGAAGACGGGCGACGGAAATGTTTTAAATTACCTATAGAATCGATAGGTTACGGTAAAAGACGGGATAACGGGGTTAGGATAAGACGGATTTAACGAAATACGTAAAATTTGGATGCGTAATTTCACCGGTTACCGTCCGACTAAATACGATTTCCGTTAATTAGAATAGACAATGGTGGGTGACGATTGTTCTTTGGTTTTCAGGTTCCTTTAGTTTCCTGAACGCCACGTTCATCTTCGTCCGTCAGAACGGTTATCATCTGGTGCAGACTTATCTGCCCACTTCCTTAATCGTGATGATATCTTGGGTGTCCTTCTGGCTGAACGTGGACGCCACTCCCGCCCGCGTCACCCTGGGAGTCACCACTCTGTTGGCCTTGACCACCGTGGCTTCCGGCGTCAGAACCCAGCTTCCACCCGTTTCCTACGTAAAAGCCATCGACATATGGATAGGCGTGTGTTCCGTCATGGTGTTCGGAGCTCTGTTAGAATTCACTCTGGTCAATTACCTGTCCAGGAGCAAGAAGAAACTCAACGCCACGCAGAGCGTTCTCCACGTCCTCACGGTACGTTCTTTTAAATATTTTCCCGGTCAAAGGTACCGGTACTCTAGTATACGGCGTAGTGTACTGTAAGTGGTAATACTAGCGTATTAAGGCCAGTGTTACAATTTGTTTACTCGGAACAGCGGAAGAAAGAGGAATCGACGGAGACCGGCACGAAGTACGTCAACGACGAGGACACCAAAACCGAATTGCAAATCAACGCGCAGAAGCTGGAACTGGCGATGAACCTGAAGCGAGCTCGAACCGTCGACCGAGTGTGTCGAGTCCTCTTCCCCCTGGCCTTTCTGACGTTCAATCTGGCCTACTGGCCTTATTACTCGTTAGCTCCGCCTCACTACTAGACTACGACCGCCTTCCTTCCTTCGTCTTCCGTAATGTTTTTAACATATCAACGTTGTTACGCGCCGTACCACGCCTCGGACGCGCGAACCGGTGTACATATTATACGCGTATTTCTGGTCGCACTAACGGCCCCGAAGTACGTATTTACATTTCTCTCCTCGACTTCCCGATAGAATTTCGTCTCCATTTTCGTCGATATACAAAAGACACTTAAGAAATTCGCCGGCCGAATTGCGGCTTTTGGCTAGTAACGTCAAATTCCTTTTCCGACGTAATTCCCGTCAGATTTTCTTAATCTGATGCGGAAAATTCTAGTGTTCGTCTCTTCGTTCTTATCAATAAATTTCAACTAAATACGAAGTGACGGTTGTATTTCTGATCCCGGCAAGCCTTAACCACACTTAAATTCCACCCACCAAACCATTAGAAACTTTTTACCCCAAATTATATATTAAGGCGGTTCCTGGCGTTTACTTGTTGTTAGACGATATGGCGCGAATTCTCTGGTGGAATTTGGAAGGGAGGTAACGATTCCCCATCGATCGTACCGTGGGAAGTTCCTGCCAAATTCTTTACGGCGACGACCGATGGCTTCCTTCCCCCAAACTACAAATAGTCGCTCTTTTTATAACACCGTCTACCGAATTAGGTAATATTAACTCGATCTATTCTCCTCCAACAGTTATATTTGTATGCGGTCGAGTTGTCTTTTTGTCGCACCGCGTTGTCACTTATTATTCTATAATGTCAATCGGGAGTCCAATTCGGAGGGATAACGACGACTAGACCGGAAATACATACTTTTGGTTTCGGGGCGTAGGCGGGTAAGGCTGGATTACGCCGGGCGAGTTTACTAGCCGATGGTAAAAACGCCGGCGAGTGGCGAGAAAAGTCGCTTTCGACTTTACCAACGTTATTACACGCGGCGAGTAGCTAGTAAAGTCGCGCAGCGTAATCCAGCATATACTAATCGCCGGTCTTAATCGTCGTAATCTCGCGGCGCAAAATCTCACCCGGAATAAATTTGATTTGTAACGGAGTTTTCAAACTTTATTTACGTTCGATTTTCTTAATTCCCGGCGGTCGGACGACCGAACCCTCGGGTAATTAATTATTTAAATCGGTTAAAGGCGTCCCTACGGATCCTATTAAATTAAACTTTTTCGTCGTTCCCATCGAAACGCGAAATCGCCACCATCCAACACCGAATTTCGGATTAATTCTGCGGTTAACGACCTATCGTACGCAGGAAAATCAAATGTATTAATGTATATATAATTCGTTTACCGGGAACTCCGATCGAAACGTTTAAAACTGCTTTAAAAAATCCGGTAGCCGGTTGCTTAACTTTCCGGGCAACGGGTAAAATTGCTGGCGGCGCCATCCGTTACGATATTTTATTTAAAAAGTAGCAAAAGTCTTAATTTCGAGGGGATGGGTTTTATAACAAATGGTAAATGTTGGCAACCGGTAAAATCCTCGTCGAGTCGATCCCACCGAGCCACCTCCTCCGAAGACCTTTAACCAACAAAATGTAATACCGTCGATGCCCCTAATACTCTAACTTTCCTGCAAAATTTCAGAAATTTTTGACCGAAAGCACGAATGTTATTAAACTTCGAACGGCGTAAACTAAATCGTGCCCTCCCACACACAAACATCCATACATACTGAAAAACCCTCAAATTTTTTTGGTATTTTCGACCATTTAAAATCTCGAAACTATTCGTCCAATAAAGCGGCGATCGATAAAGCGGAAATTAAAATTTTATAAACGTAATTACAATTTTTCTTAGGGGAAATTTTAAAAGTGGAAAATAAATTACAACCAAAAAAAAAAACAAAAACAAAAATAAATTACAACAAAAAAAAAGTGGTTGGAATGTAACATTTCGTTTCTGAGAAAATATGGCAATAAAATTAAATTATTACATTGGTAAATATCGATTTAACTTTTAAACCTAAAAGGGGGAAGTACAATGTTTCTCTATTAAATTACGGCTGGTCTCTCGCACTTTCCACCCTCCTTCGTCGTCTTTACGCGTTGTGGACATTGCGTAAAACGCTATTTTACGAAGAAATTAATAAAGTATCGGCTAACAAAGTTTTCAAACGGGCAAATCTGCCGTCTCTACGAAAACTTTCGTGTTTATAGATTCAAAAATAATCTAGCGACGAGAGTTGCGTAACTTTCTCGGCGTTTGCGAGTTTTTATTTAAAAAACGACTTTGTTATTATTAAGCAAAAAAAACTAAAATTGTATATGGCGCAATGTTGAGAGATTTTGTCACAAAAATAATTACTATAAAATGGCAAAAAGTTTAATTTTGAGGGTACCGATGGGTTTTATAAAATAATGTAAATGTTAATTAATAACGAATAAAATCCCCATTAAGTCCTAGCCCTCTGGAGATACACGGCCCCCCCTCTATATCCTCACCCTCTCGACCTCTCGCCACCAAAATTTAACATTATCGATAACCCTCGTATACAAACCACCGTGCCAAATTTCGTTTCTTAATCTTTACCCCATCCCGAAATATTAAGCGAAATAGACGACAATACACACGCAACACACGGAATTTTTTTTGAATTTTTTTAATCATAAAGTGGAGAATTGAAAAAAAAACTCGGGCTGTGAAATTCGACGCGATTCCTAATGGTTTCGAGGTCGCGTGTCGCGCGATAAAAGGCACGTTCGCTCCGCTCCTTCGCCATGTTTGTGGTCTAGTTTCGCTCGCTTAGTTTACAGGTGGTTCGTTATTTGACAGGTTAATAATGCTTTTTTTCTATTTAAACATAATAGAACTGCAGAGTTTTTATAACTTGCACAAAGTTAAAGATGTTTTTCTGGCGGGCTATTCTCTCGGTCTGACGTGACGCGATGCTGTTTTATATATAAAGTTTCATTACGTCAAGACATGGATTCGTACAAAGTCGGTATCTTCGTTGTAGATCGAGTCGTGGCTTAAAGTAGTATTTGGTGACATCATAAACTATTTGGTTTTGATGACAAATTACTACACTTAATTTATTTTGTAAGCTTTCATTTGTGAAAGCTTACAAATCTTTAGAGATTTTAACTATCTTACAAGCGGTTGGATTTCTCCCGATTATACGCTCTTTCGTAACGCTCCCGATATGAATTTGGGTTGTAGCCACTCTCATACCCCATGTATTAATATAATGTTGGTATTCAGACTAGTGATGACTCCTAGTACAACGATAAAAAACCTTTTCAATAATATATTATTAGGACAATTTAATATTAAAAAGAATATATTATGTTATAGGTTATAATAACTAAGAATTTATTAGGAACAACTCGAAGGTTACTATGTAATGATTATTTGTTACTAATGTAAAAAAAATCATTGTAAAAAGTAGCATCTTGACGAAATGTTAATATTGCTCAGCAAAATAACCTAACTTAGCTAGTTATAAGCGATCGATGGAAATTGTTGGTTTATATCTTAAAAACACACACTTTCATTTATGTAAATTAGACTGGAAGGACAATTGGTTCAAAAGGCATTTCTAAATCATCATCAGCTAAGCGATTATCTTTGCTTAACACTTTAATATTAACTCTACCGTATACTTATTACAAGCAGACACTAAGAAAACAAATTGAAAGGTGAAAAATAAAGTTAAAACACAATTATTATCTATTCGACTAAAACCTGCGGTTGTTAAAATTATTTAACTTTATGATACCGGTGCAAAAGTTTACCTAATCGTTAATTGGTAACTAGTGTTCTGATTTATTGCTTACCCGAAATGAAATGTTTCCGGCAAACTCGTGTATCGACATTCACTTTATTCGTATTCAAATTTTTCCGGTTAATTATCGAGAGCCACGCAGATTGCCTTGGTCGTCAAAGCTCCTCGGTTTGGGGGTCCTCGACGACAATGCCAGGAATTTTAAAAAATGACATTCGTTCGTTCTCGAGTGAACTAGCATTACACCCAATTACGCAACAATTCGCCACGAATAAACAACACGAGAGTTCCAGCTAAAGCGCGCGTAAACACAAATAAAACGTAAATAAACTACAAAGATGGCGCCGGACAATTGCGCACGCTGGTGGCGTCAACTTNATGTAAACACGAAACTGGTGGAAACTAAAAACTGATATAATATTAATTACACGAACATTTTAAACTAAAATTTTCAAAAAACTACGTAACGGCTTTCTAAATGCGATTGGAAAAATTAAAATTTCTAGTCCCAAAAATACATAGAAAAAATATTAACGTTTAAATATACACAATACATTACGTTAAACAGTTTCAAAAATATTTAACACCGAATAAAAGATTAGTGTCTATAAGCATTGAATTAGAACGAAATAACTCAAAACATATAAAACCCTCGGGTTTCTCCATAGACCAAGGTTTCCACCACGAACTTTGGTTGCGTTCGTAAAGTCGAACGAGTGGGTCATAAAATACAAATTCCACTAGGCGTCGGTGACGTTTCGAACGAAACTAACGAAGTTACCCGATTAGTTTACTTCGCGAAGAAAATGGCGCCGGGCGATATCGACGTTTCTAAATCTACTCGATCGAGGACCAACAGGCGAATAAGAAAAATATTTAGGACAGGACCGCGCTAGCAACGTTCGTAACTTCAATTTAGAAACGGCCATTTTGTCGTAAACCAATCGATCGAAACGTCTAAATAAATAACAACCACGACGTCATTCTCGTTTAACCGGTTTGACTTTACGAACGTATCCGTTATTACGCTTCGACGTTACAAGTATACGCGTAGGCGACAGATCCGTTGCAAGATATTTAGGTTTTTTTTTATTTAGAACGAGCCAAAACAATAACGGTTTTATGACGCGCGCCATTATCAACTGGAACATTTACAAGCCACGCGATTACTAATAACCTGACTCCTGGTCCACAGTTGCCAACATTAAAAATATAATCTTACGCCGGAAATAGTAAAACGTCACCTAACCTCGTCCAAACGGTTAAATATTTTCCAGATTTTCAAACGTAACAAATAAATAATATAATTTTTAATCCCCGTTCTTCGTAGTACATCGAGGGACAATTTAGAAAAGACGGTACACACACGCGCAATTAATGGAAAGCGACGTTTATCGAACTCTTCGAAAAACGATATTTATTCGGCACATTTAATTAATTGTTTTGATATTTATCTACCGAAAATAAAAAAATCCCAGAAAGCGGGGAAAAAAGATAAGGCCAAAAAAGTTTTTTTTTTATCCCCACGATAATTCATTAATAAGACACTATTACTATTGTTTTCTCGAAGTACAATTATTATTATATAACAGCGAGAATAGGATATTTTATAATTTAAATAGAAGCGACAACTTGAAATAGTTTAACATTTTTAAAAATTTTATTAGCAAATATAATTAAAAAAAAAAAAAGATTAGTAAGCCGAGATCATATACATACATACATAACAGTATATCCGGGTCATTACATTAAATAACCCGAAAATAAATAATATTTGCTCTATGTTTTTTCGTCATAAATAACTGAAGATTTTTCCAATAAGGTATAATTTAAAATTTTCTCTTTCGTTATCTTTTTCTACCATAAAATAGGCGGCGGCGGCGGCGTTAAAAAACGAACATAACTAAAGCGTAATTTTTTTTAATAAAAGAAGAATACATTCGAAGCATTTTCGTCGAACGTACGGTACGAGCGACGGTCTCGACTTTTGCACTCGACGGAATGGAAGAAGTGTCTTGGCAATTTATCAGAGGCTTTTGCTATTTCTGTTGGACGAGGAAAAAACGAGCTTTTCCTAATTTCTATTATATTCTAAATGTCTGCCTTCCTGCTGCAATAACTTCATTTGTATTTTAATCATCATGCAGGCCTCCCTCTCTCGCTGTATCTGGCGGGTCACTTCGGCATTCTTTTTCTAAGCCAAGCGTTACGGTTATTATATATTTGTCCCCGCGTTTAACCAGAAAAATAAACAATTGAAATTTTACCTCCAGAGCTTGGTTTTCTTTAATTAAATCTTCTAGAACTTGTTGCAAATCTTCTTCATCTTCTGCATCCTTTCGATCTGTTAAGTTAACTTAACGAAAAATTTAAATCTCTTATAAATTCCCGCTTCCCAGTGTACGAAAATCGACAATAAAGTTATTATTTTAAGAAACGATTTCGGTAACTTTTTCTCTACTTTATAATTTAAAGTAAAAGGATACACTTTCACTACTATCGGTTTCAGAGCTTTTTTCTGAAGAATCAAATGAATATTGCTTAAATCTGAAAAAAAATTATTATTTAATTAACTGCCAAATTTAATTCTTAAGGATAAATTCTTCGCAGCCGATATAAGAAATTAATTACTAATGCTCCATTAGTTTTATCGAATGATTGAACTGACGATAATAGGAAAGACCGGTGTCGGAAGTCAAAGACTTCCTTTGGCCAAGATAATTCCCTGGAATTTTAATATGCCAGATGACAATAATCAGATAGTAGTCGTTGGCTCGCTAGAGCAAAGTTTGACACCGCTTCATTTACATATTCTACTGCTCTGATACTTTGGTTTCTTTTCAAATTTTTTAAATATTCCAAACCCCTTATCTAACACATGATTTCGTGGGGCACATATACTAGCGATTCGTTTCGGACAATCTAAATGTAAACACGAAACTGGTCAACGCTCGGTTACGCTAATTTATATAACGAAAACAGACGGGGGGAATTGAATCATTTCGAATTTAAAATAATAATAAATATTAATATTCCGAATAAAAACGTATTCTCGCGTCTAAATCGATCGGGAAAATAAATAAATATAAAAATACGTCTGAGAGATGATAGAGTGTGTGCCGTAAAATATTCGTTATAACGCGAGAGCAATTTCATCGAAATTGTTATTGTCGTATTTAAAATTTAAATTCGAATAAAATAAAAACGTGCTTGTAAAACTGTTGATATTCAGCAATTTCAGCTCTTAATCTCTCCACTTCCGAGTGTTCGGTCGCTATCTTCCTTTTCAATTCTTCTCCTAAAAACAATAATTCTTCTTGCTGAAGTAACAGAAGTTTCTCTTCGTGAAGAAGCGCGTGCACTTCGTCGTCCTCTCCGTTTTCCACCACGGCAACCTCTTCGTTTTCGCTTTTGGTTTCCGTTGCCACTTTCTCACCCTTTTCTAATCAAATATAAGAAATGTTAATGTAACATAAAAATGTAAAATGGCGAACGGTTTCATTTCATTTAAATTAACAATAACTTTTAAAACATTAACTAATCTTAAGAATAATTAATTAAAAGTTAAAAAAAATAACATATTAGACATCTCCCTATCATCTGCATCTGACACTTATAACACACATGTAATGCATCTATCTATTTGTATATACAATATATGTGTGTCTGTATGTCTGTACGTATACACACAATAAATTAAAAGTTAAAAAAAATAACATATTAGACATCTCCCTATCATCTGCATCTGACACTTATAACACATATTTTATTAACGCTTGTGTTATAGAAACCTTAATTAACCATGCCGGGAATGCTACTCGATTCGATCCTCCGCAATGCTTCTCGCATTCGGAGTGATACCGTCTTTCGAAGCTTCTGAGCTTGCCATGTGCCCTTCGTTAATGTCCCCACCGATGGCAGTGTTTTTCTGTTGCTTGCACTGCTAAAAGTATCCTACCGGTGAATTTTGGTATCTTTTATGTTGCGGAGATAGTTTTATTGAAAACTAAGGTAAACTGGATAAGGCCAAATTTAGTGCGGTGACATTTCGGGACCAACGGAAGATATTTTTATGAGTAAACTGTAAACTGAGAGAGCAAGGACCGCCGAGAAAATTGAAGTTTACAAAAGCAAACTGGAAGAGGCATGCATATATACAAGTGATGCAGAAGGCCTACTATTGCCTAATCCCTGTCCATTTATGACCTTACACTGGCATAAAATAAGCGTCTGCGTGCTTTCTCTATATTAGCTCGTGTCCAGTTTAGGTAGCCATGTTCTCATTGTTTTTAGACCTTGTCCCGCCAGTGAAACCTTGGGTGTCCCAAAAAGATGAAAATCGAAAAATGCGGGATTCTCATTTGGACTATAGAAAAATTAGGAAGCACGGTCTGATCAAATTTGGCAATTGCCTCCAGAGTTTCGAACTTGTGCGAGAGCGGATATTTTTTTGCTGGATCGAAACATCTGCCGGATTCCCGTGGACTGCACTTGTCGGTAACATTGAGTTTTTGAGGGTTGTGATTTGTGTGTCCGGATTAATTCTCACACCTCTGGGCATCATATCCACAAGAATCACTCCATTGATGTTCCAAAAATGGTAATTATGACCTTTCCAGCTAGGAATTTGTATCAAGTTTCTTTTTTGTAGCAATTATGGATCTTGTGCATATTTCGAACATCTGAGATCATTAACAATTGTCATTGCATTTCCATTGCAAATTAAAAGCTACGGGTTCAATTATCAAATTTGTGGCGTGTCAATCCTCACAAATAATGGCATTGGCAAACTAACGTATCTGAGTTTGTGGCCGCACCAAAATACCCAGAGCACTGCCGATTGTGCAGCTCGGTCTCTCTGTTTCTCAAAGACCTAATACTCTAAACTCGGAGTCTAATGGTGTGCCTATCAACTGCGCAACTTCCATACACGACATACAAACGTTTGTGAACATTTTCCACAGTTTATTTCTCCTCTGTCGAGAATTCAATTAAGGGTCTATGTTCGTAACCTGTCGTACAGAGATGCCATTCTTACGGACGGCCATTCTTAGACAATGCCATTCTTACGGCGGCATTGTCTGTAAAATACCAAAATTACGTGTACGCACGACACACAAAACATCAGTGTTGCTACCTGTAAATTTTCACTTTGCTATCATCATTCTGGATGAGAAATAAAATGTGGAGTATTATTTTCTAAGCAACCCTTATATTTTTTGAAAACACTTCTTACCTAATTCTTCTTTCTCAACAGTAGTTAAAACAGTTTTCTGTGCTTGTTCTTCAATTATAACTTCTTCAACAACATCATCATCTTTTACTTCTTCTTTTACCACTTCTTCCTAAAATATATTATTTTACATCATAAATGATAAATCTTATCAATATATAAAAATTAAGCAATTATTCACATTTTAAAAGTCATCCAGAAATGTTTTGAAATGTATACAGTGGAGTCCCAACAATGAGGGGATACATTCTGCTTTACAGGAAACTGCTTTATTGAGACATGCATTATCAGACGATTTTATGAAAGTATCAATCTAAGTCTAGAAGTTGAAGAAAAAAACATTTTGGCAAAGCTATGTCAAAGTCGTATAACAATATTGGATAAAGAGAGAAAGCATTGCTTCTAACTGATCATGCATGATGTAAGCTAAAATGGTATCTGATTAGCCACTGTACAAAGCTAAATATGACATATGTAATCTGTTTTCTTGTACTCTGACTGTACTGATATGATAAAAAATAATTTGCTATGCAAACTGGAGTGTTGGTAACACTGAGAATAGACTTTTTAATCCCTAAACAATTCACACAATCGTCAAGAGATAATTGTTTTAAATAAATTTTATGTAAACTTATACAGATTGCTAGTTCAACTGAGATCAGTTTATTAAAATCATCATACTTTTGTATTTAATAAAATTTAAAGTAAACCTCTGTGAATTGAATTTCTTCATAGATGAAGAAAAAAATTTATTAATTTAGATACCTATAAGTAAAATTATTTATATATATATAAATGTATGAATTCACATATTTTTAAAATATTTCACATTAATATTTTCTAAATATTTAAAAAATATCATTATAATTGTTAAGTAGTAAATTTAGTTCTATGCTGAATATTTGTTTATAACAAGACTTTCTGATTCAAGGTCATTAATTTGTAATATATTCATTTATGAATAAATGTTGCATTTACTTCAAATTCAACTAATTCATGAATTAAATATTGTATAAAAATCCCATATTTTATATATTTACTAGACAAAATTAGGTATTTTTAAATAATTTTTGAATCGTGCCTTTCAACTTTTTCAGTTTAAAACAAAATGTAAAATTTCTATATATACCAAGATTAAAATTAAATAAAGGATATATGTCAGACAAAATCAACCCTGTAAGATGTTTAATGGCATAAGAAATTGTCAAACAAATAACGACTTTTCAGTAAAAAGCTATAGTTATATTTCCCAGATTTACATATTTATGACTGGAAAATTTTAAATATCAAGATTTTGTCAATTAAGGCAGAGTCAATATTTTTCCTATTCATCTGTTATGGCAACACAGTGCACTTTTAAGAATATGATCATTAAAACTTTCTTATGGATTATACTGTGTAATATATAATACGAAACAACTAGTTATAAATAAGATAAGTATCTTGGACTTTCAGTGATATCTTGGATTTTGAACACAAAATTTGACAAAAAATTAACTTCATAGTTTGAACTGCTCGCACAGTGCTTGAAGCACAAACTCAATCCATTGTTTGTTCAAGTCATCTCTTGCTCTCACTCTTGCATTATGTTTGTATGTTTTCATTTCATTAAAACATTCATTTTATTTTTCATTTCATTTTAGTTTTGATGTGTTTGGTTGTATATACTGTATTGTGTGTTATATGTCAATTTTTAACAGTTTATTCACACAATTTTTCTTTCTGGACAGCTTTTGGGCACCCCTACTGTTTTGTATCCAAAATTTCCAAATGAAACTTTATAAATCACATTTGACATGTTTGAAGTTTAAGAGCATCTTCTGCATACACATTACAATTTATTTTACTGTTTATATGCCATTCTATCCTTTTCGAAAGTCATAAAGCATAACATGCCCGATATGCTTTTATCCAAAGACATTACAACTTCATTTTATTCAAATAAAATGTGAGGTAAATAGTTTAAGCTTCTAAACAAAAAATAAAAACTTACACTATCTATAATATGTTAAATTTCACAACTGTTATAATTAAATCACAAATCTACGCTAAGATGCAGAAGTCCAAGGTGTGGACCAATAAATGCAATCTTTGTTTTATTATAGTGTTTAGGTATATGAGCAATAATTAATTAAATATAAATTTCATTAATATTTGATAAATATTCTAATTGATTTGATTTTTCAATGAGATTTGGTATCAATTTCGTTACATTCATTGGGAAAGATACATTTAGAAACTATGAATTCTAGAAAAGCTAAGTCTCTTCTAGCTTAAAGGAATGATTGACAAGAAATAGTATAGGAGCTGTTATTGTTTTTCTTTTACTGTTATTTTCTGTTATATGATTAATTGTATTTATTTCCATATTTTTAAACGTATTATTATTAACTGGATTCTCAGAGAGTATCCAATGCTACGCTCTGAGAACTATTATCATCTTTTTAAGTTAAAAATAAAATATAAATTTTCTATTAAAATAAAACAAAGGACCAAGTCAATTCCATAGGATGTTATGTAGNTCAAATTATTATAATATATTTTAAAAACTTATAATTATTATTAGTGTGTATTCATATGTTAGTTTTATAAAATTTTAATCCCACTTGTTTCTTTTTTTTTTCCTCCCCTTTTTGCTCAACCATTTGGCTTTTACAAATATAGAGCAGTTTGACAATGATTAATTTTATGACTATCCTACAACATTTGACTGAACAATTTTATGTCTATTAATGCTAAAATCATAAAACTTGTAAAAGCAGAAACTTTAAGCAAATCAAATTCATTGTACAGTACAAACTCATTACAAGACACCTTGTATTAACATAATCATATGATTAATTGTATTTATTTCCATATTTTTAAACGTATTATTATTAACTGGATTCTCAGAGAGTATCCAATGCTACTCTCTGAGAACTATTATCATCTTTTTAAGTTAAAAATAAAATATAAATTTTCTATTAAAATAAAACAAAGGACCAAGTCAATTCCATAGGATGTTATGTAGGAAAAGGAACTGCTGTCAAATATAAGTAATATCTTTTCTGTTTAAAACTATAGTTATATTATTCAGAATTTTATATTTGAAAGGTTCGGTGTAAGAGATGGTAGGCATTATAATGAAAGTTTAGAGATGATGCAAAAATTAAGCATTTTAAGAAGTTTTCTGCTTTCTTTCTTTTAATTGAAATAAAGTGCATGTTATAGTTAAAAAGTAGCCATAATATTTAAATTAAATACAATGCTGTTTAGTTGTTAGCACACCACACATCATAATGTACTGATGGAAATGGAGCTTACCATCTTATACGCCTGAACCCTTCATTTATGACTGAAAAATTCTAAATATTGAGATTTTGTCATCTTGGATTTATAGTTGTATTTCTATGAATCTTTGATTTATTATATAATTTAATATATTGTCAGTATGACTATTTGTTATAATTATCCCTATAATTATATAAGAGAAACACTATATTTTATAACTTGTTTTGGAGGTTATTTTATGACTTCAGCTCCCTTAATTGAAAACTAATCACTTATTGGAATTTGATTAGAAGTGTTGTTGAGCATTTGGTCTTGTTAATTAGCATGCTGAAAGTTTTACTTTTTGATGCAGTTTCTCTAAAGATATATAGACCCAAATTTGTTCACAAATATTTTTATCAAATATTGTACCAATAAAGCAGTTTGTATACTTATATTTAGTCATTTTTGCAATCCTATATATTTTAAAAGAAATATATCTAAATTATTTGATATTTCTTACTGGTTTTTCAATGTTTTGAACAGGAACAGTTTCCTTCTCATCACATTTTTCTTTTTGAGAAATTTCTTCTGTTTCTTTTTCAGGTGCAATATTTTCTGATTTAACTGTTTCAGTTTGAATTTCTTCTTGTGCATTTTCATTTTTTTCAACGTTATTTTCTACTGCTTCTTGCGATGTTTCTTCCTTAACTTGTTGCAGTCTTGTGTCAATATGAAAATCATCTTCAGCATTTACTACACTAGATCTAACTTGTTTATCTTGAACTTGTTTCAAAAATCTTAACTATAATTATTTTTATAAAGAAAAAACAATATTAACACCCAACGATCTGAGCAATAATTTCTTAAACAAATTTTAAAATTTCAGTTGTTTTAAAACTACCTTTCGTTTCAACTGGGTAACGATGCGTTGAATTTCCCAAAGTTGTTCTTCTTTCTGTTTATCTCTCAAGCCAGCATTTAATTCTGCATGTAGCTCATTTAACAAATTTTCTTGTTTTCCCAATTCTTCTTCAATAGCAGCAGGTGTATCTGGCAATTCTAACGATAATCTAGATGTTTCAGGTTGAATAGGTGGTACATATCTACATTGGAAATAAATTCATAATAAAGTGTGTTACAGTTATTAACAAAGAAAAATCTTTTACACTAAACTACTGATATTACATACTAAATTTTAAAGCAAATTGAAAAAAAATATTTTCATATACAGGTATACCTCGCCTTACGTCGGTAATTGGTTCCAGGAAAACGACATAAGTCGAATTTACTTGTCTTCGAATCTACTTATCACTAGGCTAAACCGTAAATTACCATTTCCGGTTCTGTATTTTATTTATTAATGCATTTTTAATAATATATGGTTAATAAAAATCTATTTTAAGCTTACAAACAAATAAATTTTAGTTTTTAATATAGTACAAAAAAAATAATCTAAATTTACGAATGCATGTACTGTAAATACAGTACATACTTGTATATATTTTAATATGATTTTATGTGCTTTAAACGTTTATCTAGTGATATTACGACTTCAATATTTGTGGCGGACAGACGTAAAGTCGAATAAAATGACTTAAACTTAATTTTTATTTTTCCATATACTTTTTTAACAAGCAACGTATAATCGGGAACGACGTAACTCAAAACGACGTAAGTCGAGGTATACCTGTATTATTAAAAACAGCAATTTCTGTAACAATTATAATATTAAAAAGCTATCATTCTTGCTATCATCTCAAAATATGAATTACATAGATACAATAGAACTCCAAATCTATTGAGTTCTGCATTATCTGAGAAAAACCAGTAAGTGAATACACTATTCTTATACTGTAATTTATAAAAGGAAATTTAAAACAACATATATTACAAAATGATTTATTTCTGTTATGTTTTATCATTTAACTCCAATGAGAGACAAACTATTCATATTAAAATATAACTACAATAATATGCATTTTTATTCTTAAAACTATTGTACATATTAACTATATAATGAATGACGTAAAAATTATTGTTCTTATATAAAATTAAATCCACTAAGGTATAAAAAGAGGCTTAAAGTGTTATTGTATAAATCTCTTAGATTCGTAATTTTTAATCCAAAATGGCCGTGATCATCTGTTTCATCAGTTATCCAACATAGCATCGGTCTGCATTACTTCAGATATTTGGGGTTCTACTATATATTCGAAGTTATGTAAACTTCTGAAATGATCGTATAAAACTAAAAATATTTTATAGATTATTAAAATCAGATATTTTAAAAATTAAAAGCATATATCTAATTTGAATATTCTATAAAATAGTTTTGCAATTAAGAGAAAAAGACTGTCTTTTGATATTAGTTAACTTTAATTGACATAATAAAAATAAAAACACAGTTATTATAAAGTTTACAAATACTTTCTAACAACCTAATGTTAATTTTTGAAAAAAAAAAATATTCTTTCATTTTTGTATTTTATTATTTCAATTAAAGTTAATTAATGTCAAAAGTCAGTTATTTTTCCATTTTACAACAAAATTTCCAGTCAAGAAAATGAAATCAGATTCATTCTAAATTTATGAAAGAATAGTTTTATAACAAATAAAATAAAATGTTTTTAATTTTAAATATTAATGCTTACTTTTTAATCTCAAAATCACTGAAAAGAATTTTATGATGAGCAAACAGAGCATGAAGAACTCTATGACTGATTTGCATCGTAGGACTTAAAACAATGGATATATTTTGCAAGTTCATTTTGTTTCTTTTTTCCTGAAAGTGATATTTTTGATATGAATAATAATAATAATAATAATAATAATAAATTTACAAGATACTCTAATATAAAACTCACTTATCTAATGTTAATATGATGCCAGACAGTATTTTCAAAATATTTTTTCTACCCTTTTCCACAATATATTAATAAAATTAAATGAGAAGTAAATAATAGTAGCTTTCTCTTGTTTGAACTATGATCATAAAGAAATTTGCTAGAGATGTTTATTTATCATAATCATCAATTTAATTATTTTTTATAAGCTATTTGTTATTTCATTTTCCTATCTAAAATCAAATTATTATAATATATTTTAAAAACTTATAATTATTATTAGTGTGTATTCATATGTTAGTTTTATAAAATTTTAATCCCACTTGTTTCTTTTTTTTTTCCTCCCCTTTTTGCTCAACCATTTGGCTTTTACAAATATAGAGCAGTTTGACAATGATTAATTTTATGACTATCCTACAACATTTGACTGAACAATTTTATGTCTATTAATGCTAAAATCATAAAACTTGTAAAAGCAGAAACTTTAAGCAAATCAAATTCATTGTACAGTACAAACTCATTACAAGACACCTTGTATTAACATAATCAATATTTAATAAAAATAAAATATTTTTTGTCGTAATTTATAATCATTTGTGCAAATATTTATATCGATATCCAGACCATTTAGAACATATTTAATGCTCCTATTGTTCCGGAACTTCTACGTACCAAATGCAAGTTAACTTATTGGCATCGTATTAGCATTGATTATTATTTAATTTAATTCTTTTTAATTTAAATACGTAAAACTTAGAATTATATTTGTTTTAAAGTATAATATTTATAAAATTAAAAGATATTACAGAATAATTTATGGAAGAAGAAGATGATGATGATGATAAATCACCATTAAAACTTTTAAGTTGAAATTCATTTAAAATTTATTATAATAAAATGTAAAACAATACACATACCATTTGTATTATATGTAGCATATGTATAAACACATATGATAAAAGAAGTCTGTTACATTTTGGTAAACTTTCAATTAACTTTGATATAATTTCTACTTTTCTCTGTTCATTTTTCAAAGCTGAAAATGAGAACAAGAATCAAACTCAAAAATGTTTTTTGTTTCTTTTTATATCTAATTTATCAAATATACAGGGTCTTCCAAAAAGAATGCTACCATTTTAAATTACTGTATGTCAATCATTATCTGAGAAGTATGTGACATCCATCAGTCGATAGAGTAACCGTCTGCATTCAAACATCTTGTCCTCTACTACCACTAAGAGGCACTGTAAATGAAAATGGCAGAAAGAATTTTGTGTTCTGCGGTTCACAAAGTCAGAATCATTCGTCACCGAGCAACTCGAGTAATCTGCAAGAGTTGTAGAATTGTAGCTGCACGGGAGAATGGATATGCCTTAGTGAGCATAGGAAGAATTTGAGTATCTGTCTGAAGTGTGCTGTGTGACACGTGGTGCACGTGTTGAGAAATTGTAATGGGCAATTATGAAATCTGGACAATTTTCCAATGTTGTAATGTAAATTATATTCTCAGATAATAATTAACATAATTATAATAATCTAAAATGGTAACATTCTTTTTTGGAAGATCCTGTGTATAATATCAATATATAATTCAAGTACATTGTAAATCATCAAAGTAACTGTGTGTTAAAGCCGCTTGAGCTGAGATACATTCTGCTGGATTGTAAACAAGCATTTTCTGAAGTAAATCAATTCCACTAGTATCTAGTTGAGGTATATTTGTCATAAGTATATTTTGTTTCCACCTGGAAAAAATAGGCTTATAATCAGGCATGTGAGAAACTCCAGGCCATATATCTCCAGTTGGAGTACTTAAAGTTCTAAATATCTGGAAAAGCTGATCAATTTCAGAATCACCATGAAAAAGTGGCTTCAGAAAATGCTTGTTTACAATCCAGCAGATCGTATCTCAGCTCAAGCGGCTTTAACACACAGTTACTTTGATGATTTAGAATCCTTCAAGTGTGAAGCATTGTAACATTTGAAACAAAAGTACATTGTAACTTCCAATCACTGAAAAATATGCATGTTATAAATTTGACACACATTTGATGATGAAACTGTTCCTTTACATATTCTAACTGATTAANTATAGTGCGTATGATCTCTCTTCAAAGCAAGTTAAGAACATAAGATGAATCCTAAAGTTACAGGTTTGTCCCAAATATAAAGTAAAAAATTAAGAGCCAGTGAAAATGTTCTTCATGGAAGACAGTATGGAATTAGCAGAGAATATAAAGGAAGCACTGCCATGAGGGAATAAATTCACTCCTGATAAAAGAAAGATCTTGTCAAAGAAAGTGGCACAGCCATCAAACTTCTGCTTGAGGCTATCCACTTCAGATGAAGTTAAATTCTCCAGTGAACCATAGTAGCTTAAATTGGAATGAATCAGCTCTGACATATTGTTAACTAGTTATAAAGCTAGGAAGTGATGAATGAATAACCAAACTGTATGCATATATGCAGACAAATTGCAAATCCCCACACTTTTAAAGAAAAAAATCCAATGAGATAAAAATGCAGAACTATTTGGATAACAGAGAAGCCAAGAAGTTTAGGATACAAACCTCTCTGAAAGAATTTTAGTCAAAACTGAAAGTTTTAAATAACAAGTGATTCCCAGTGTTCCTAAAATGTAAAGTTTCTACCAGAGTTACCATACGAAGGTTGGTAGGGTAGGGTAGGTAGTTTGGTAGAGTAAAGATACATAAGGAAGAATGGCCATTGAAACTGGTGCTTGAAGAAACCTTTTCACTCACCATAACTCTCAAGAGAACATTATGTAACTTCCTTTCAACAACAGACTGTAGAACAGAATATACTGTTAAGAGTTTGCTGTAAATAATCAAAATGATATCTTCCATTGAAGTAGAGGCAAAAGATTACATTACTATCTTACATTACATTAGCCTTTATCTTTACTCATATTTTGCAGCTATATCCTTTATGAGAAAACACATGAGAAAGGGGAGTGGTGCTAGGTAAGTATAAGACAGTGGTGGATAAACAGATGTAATTTTAAATAATTCATACTTCTCTTAGGGCAGCAAATGCTTTTCACAAAAGAGGAGAGTGCATATGGGGTCACCAGCCTCTGATGACATAGCCAAAATAGTGCTACAATGGATAGCGGGCCCTATATTAAGAATTTTTGGGAGGCTATCAAACTTATCATTAGGTATGTAGATGAGATGTTTATCACATGGATACATCAAGAGGCAGTACAAAAATTCATAAAAACTATTAATAATTTCTGTCGTTCCCAAGCAGTAGTTACAATAATATTGGATTTAACAATTTTTTAAAATGCTAAGCATACACATACTAAGGTTTTTTGAAAGTTAACAGCAATAAATTCATTCATACTTCCTTTCAGCAGTGGATGGTAACAATGTGATAGACTATATAGGGCCATTCAAAACAAGTGGTATGGCATGTCATCTAAGGATGTTGTGCTCCTCCATGACAACATGCATCCTCACATGGCTCAACAGACCCCATACCTGCTTCAACTCTTCAAATGGAATGTTCTGCACCATCCTATCTACAGTCCAGACTTGGTTCCCAGTAAATATCACCCGTTTGAGAAATTGAAAGAGTTTCTGAAAAGAAAATGCTTTCACCAGTACTGATGAGTTGAAAGACAGAGTCATGCAGTGGTTAAAAGGCTTGGTGGCAGAGGTCTATGATGATGACACTCAAAAACTGGTCACAAGATATTACAAGTGTTTAAACAACAATGGTGATTATGTCAAAAAATGACTAAATCAATACATAATTTATGGCAGATAAAAAAATTTGAATAAGTAGATTTGTTTTGCAATCATAGGCAAGCAGGTATTACTTTCTGGACAACCTTCATACATTTATCTTTATTATATTTATTAATTCTTGTATATTAATGTCTCTTTAATCCAAAACTGAGTTATAAATAACTGTAATGCTGTGAGATAGTTTACCGAACTCAGATTTGGATTAAAGAGATGTCAATATGCAAGAACCAATAGACAGCAACCATATTATAGTATATTTATTAATATAAAAAATTTAACATGAAGTTTTTTTATATCAATATTTAAATACAGAAATACTCATTCTTTCCAAGTGCTTTTATTTATACATTTTTAACTTTTTTTATTTCATTCTTATTGTTAAAATTGTATCAAATTTATCATATATATTATTATTATAGAGTAATTGAATTGGGCTTGGAGATTTGAATATATTCAAAACTCTATATATTTTTATTATCAAGATCTTTGTTATTTAGATGATAAACAACAAAAACGAAAATTATGATGCAGATTTAATTTTCATATTTTTAAACTATAAATCTGAGAATTTAATTTGTATCATAAGATTAGATGTTATTTATGTTATTTTGAGAACACCATTTGTGGCTAAGACACAGTAGCCCTTGATTATGAAAATGTAAAAATTTTCAAAGATGTTAAGATCTTTAATAGTTAATATACTATAATAAATAAATGCTCCAATAAAGCATGTAATGTTATTAACAGAAGAAAATGTGTAATTTCAATCTAATTCAAAGTAGCTATCATCATTTAATGTTTGAGAAAAGTTACAGTATTTGTGCACATTACTGCTAAGAAACAGACCATTTGAAGCAACAGTTGAAATTTGATTGCACACAATTGCTGAAGTCAAGTTTCTGGAAGTTTCAGAAGATAATATAGTGCGTATGATCTCTCTTCAAAGCAAGTTAAGAACATAAGATGAATCCTAAAGTTACAGGTTTGTCCCAAATATAAAGTAAAAAATTAAGAGCCAGTGAAAATGTTCTTCATGGAAGACAGTATGGAATTAGCAGAGAATATAAAGGAAGCACTGCCATGAGGGAATAAATTCACTCCTGATAAAAGAAAGATCTTGTCAAAGAAAGTGGCACAGCCATCAAACTTCTGCTTGAGGCTATCCACTTCAGATGAAGTTAAATTCTCCAGTGAACCATAGTAGCTTAAATTGGAATGAATCAGCTCTGACATATTGTTAACTAGTTATAAAGCTAGGAAGTGATGAATGAATAACCAAACTGTATGCATATATGCAGACAAATTGCAAATCCCCACACTTTTAAAGAAAAAAATCCAATGAGATAAAAATGCAGAACTATTTGGATAACAGAGAAGCCAAGAAGTTTAGGATACAAACCTCTCTGAAAGAATTTTAGTCAAAACTGAAAGTTTTAAATAACAAGTGATTCCCAGTGTTCCTAAAATGTAAAGTTTCTACCAGAGTTACCATACGAAGGTTGGTAGGGTAGGGTAGGTAGTTTGGTAGAGTAAAGATACATAAGGAAGAATGGCCATTGAAACTGGTGCTTGAAGAAACCTTTTCACTCACCATAACTCTCAAGAGAACATTATGTAACTTCCTTTCAACAACAGACTGTAGAACAGAATATACTGTTAAGAGTTTGCTGTAAATAATCAAAATGATATCTTCCATTGAAGTAGAGGCAAAAGATTACATTACTATCTTACATTACATTAGCCTTTATCTTTACTCATATTTTGCAGCTATATCCTTTATGAGAAAACACATGAGAAAGGGGAGTGGTGCTAGGTAAGTATAAGACAGTGGTGGATAAACAGATGTAATTTTAAATAATTCATACTTCTCTTAGGGCAGCAAATGCTTTTCACAAAAGAGGAGAGTGCATATGGGGTCACCAGCCTCTGATGACATAGCCAAAATAGTGCTACAATGGATAGCGGGCCCTATATTAAGAATTTTTGGGAGGCTATCAAACTTATCATTAGGTATGTAGATGAGATGTTTATCACATGGATACATCAAGAGGCAGTACAAAAATTCATAAAAACTATTAATAATTTCTGTCGTTCCCAAGCAGTAGTTACAATAATATTGGATTTAACAATTTTTTAAAATGCTAAGCATACACATACTAAGGTTTTTTGAAAGTTAACAGCAATAAATTCATTCATACTTCCTTTCAGCAGTGGATGGTAACAATGTGATAGACTATATAGGGCCATTCAAAACAAGTGGTATGGCATGTCATCTAAGGATGTTGTGCTCCTCCATGACAACATGCATCCTCACATGGCTCAACAGACCCCATACCTGCTTCAACTCTTCAAATGGAATGTTCTGCACCATCCTATCTACAGTCCAGACTTGGTTCCCAGTAAATATCACCCGTTTGAGAAATTGAAAGAGTTTCTGAAAAGAAAATGCTTTCACCAGTACTGATGAGTTGAAAGACAGAGTCATGCAGTGGTTAAAAGGCTTGGTGGCAGAGGTCTATGATGATGACACTCAAAAACTGGTCACAAGATATTACAAGTGTTTAAACAACAATGGTGATTATGTCAAAAAATGACTAAATCAATACATAATTTATGGCAGATAAAAAAATTTGAATAAGTAGATTTGTTTTGCAATCATAGGCAAGCAGGTATTACTTTCTGGACAACCTTCATACATTTATCTTTATTATATTTATTAATTCTTGTATATTAATGTCTCTTTAATCCAAAACTGAGTTATAAATAACTGTAATGCTGTGAGATAGTTTACCGAACTCAGATTTGGATTAAAGAGATGTCAATATGCAAGAACCAATAGACAGCAACCATATTATAGTATATTTATTAATATAAAAAATTTAACATGAAGTTTTTTTATATCAATATTTAAATACAGAAATACTCATTCTTTCCATAATTATTTTAGACAAATAAAATCATATTTAAATTCAAGTACATTGTAAACTCCTGTAACATATACAAGGTATGTGAAAAGTTACTGTGCAGTGAGAAATTTTCAATGACATTGAAGTTATATGCAGAGTCAGAGCCGGCCCTACCATAGGGCGAACAGAGCAGCCGCTCCAAGCGCTAAGTCCTAAGGGACGCCTCAGTGGTAAAGAAAATTAAAGGCTATAAATTAGGAGCAGCCAATGGGTGTGCCATAATAGGATCTCACTCCATCCTAAAACTTGCCTCGGGCCAGCAGTGTGCAGAGTATTGCATACGAAACCTGTAAGTTGTGTGCAATACCATAGGTATAACTATTTAAAACTTTTCATAAACTAGAATAAAAATACTAGAAGACAAACAGACAACCTTCATAAATTCCAGCAAAGTACTTCAATTAGACAAACATTTTCAGCCTCCTTAAAAATTACTTAAAATTCAATTTCACATCTTAAAAATTTGATAGAAATCTTTATTTTCAGCATCCAAAAATTATACAGTACAAGATTATTATATCATTCTTATCTATAATGGCAAAATATCATATTTAAACATGATACAGTAAAATATGGAATCAATTATAAAAAGATCAAAGTCTTGGACTCCATTGCCCTTGTTATACAGTGTCTAGTGTTAATTACTGAATCTAAGAATATAAAATTATTAAAACATTTTTGTTATTTTTATTTAGATTATTTTGAAAAATTAAAAAGACAAAAGAATAATTATGTAAATCACTTCACATCACAAAATACAAATTATAAACTTTAATATTTTGTAATATTATGCTTTTTATCTAATTATTTAGATATTTGTAATTGTTAATTTATTACATAATTTTTTAATATATTATTATTGAGAATTAAACAAGAAAAAATCTAACCTGCAGCATCTTCAAACTTCGGCATTAATTCGTTGGTCAAAACAGGTTCTGGAAGTTCTCGCAGAAAATGTTTTAGGAGACTTGCAACAATGTGAGGTTCGTGTTCGTATAAATAAACTTTTTCTCCGGAATTATACTGAGATTTCAGCTGTCGTACTTTGGACTTTACGCCAGAGATTTGATAAATGCCTTCGCAAGCCAAGCCTTCATATATTAANACTAAATGTAATTTGAAGATAAATATAACATCAGAATGTAAAAATATACTCTGAGAAAACTCAAATATTTTTGCTAAATTCAATACTGTTGGGAATTAATTAAAAAAATAAAATGTAAAATACTACAAAAAATATTTTATTCTTTATCATACCATTGGGAGTTCATTAAATTAAACTCAGCACAAGAGTGATCATAGTGCTCATATGTAAATATTTAAATTTTTTAATATTTTATTTATTTATACAAAACATCAGTAATGCAATATGACTTCTAATCTTAACACTGCATTTAGTAATAACAATCCACAAAACCTTTTTATAACAGTGTTGTGTCCGTTACAATATTCACTAACATGCTGACTAAAGGTTTAGTCAGCACCTGAAGAAGACCTCGGTGGAGGTCAAAAACGTTAGTGAATATTGTTTACAAACTAAAATATATAACTACTTTAGACTGGTGATGTAACTAAGTGAGAGAAACAAGATTAATCCAGTTGTCCTCAAACATCTTGTAAACAATTGTATCTATAGAAATTAATTCAATAAAGATTGATATGTTAATATCAAAAGTTATAATATTTTATTGAACATGTAATTATATTCATAATTGACTCAACTGTATTCCTAAATGAAACATCTAATACCTATTTTGCGACATTATAATTTTTGAAATCTCATGTCACCTACTGTTGCATGTTTCCCACTTAAAAAGTGTGATGTAATAGATGTTAGTAAGATTTGCTCTCAGACAGGAGTAAAATATGTGTGCATTTCAATCTACAAATTTTAGTGTATATTATTGGCACTTTTAACATGTACAATGTATATTTCAGACATTTTAACATGCATGTAATATGATTTTAAATGCATATAAATCTAGCCCTCAGTAATGTTATTCAATGAAATTTATGTAGTATTTTTCTTTTTCTTTTCTTCAGAAGTCAAACTTAACAAGAGGTATTCTTCCATGTATGGGAACTCTTAAGAAACTGAACTGAAGAAGGATAAAAAATGCCCAAAATGCATATCCCTATATAAAAGAATACCTCTTACTGAGTATGACTTCTGAATACATCTACTATGCAAGTTTCATTGAATAATACAAGTAAAAGGGAGTGAGTGGAAAAAGAGAAAGTAAGTAATGTATTGATTATAACAATCAATAATTTGAGTCAATCCTTCATTTTCAGCACTTGACAAATACTTTTTAATACTAATCCACTTTCAATAATGAAAAGTTGTGTTTAAATTGGATTCTTATTAGTAATATAACTCTTTAGCTAGTTAAACAGTATGATCCTAGATTATTGGCTAGGGCATGATCCCAGATTATTAGATGACTATATATTTGCTGTAAACAACACAAAAGCTAAAGCACTATTACAGTAAAATACCTTCTCAAGAAAATACAAAGATTATTGTCTAACACTATTAAACTTTATAGAATTGATTGAACACACAAAGCTACTATAATGATAATGACCAATTATCTCTCTAGTCCAGCGATTCCCAACTGGGAGTATGTGCTTGGTGGTTTAGGAGTATGCAAAAAAATTTAATAATGACAGATATACTGTACTATAAGGATATTCGGATTCTGCATCGAGTCCTTTGGCGACATCAGGCACATGTTGATAAATATAATAATAATATATAATATAATAAATAAAAATATAATTATATTTTTATTATATTTATCTGTCCTTCTTCCAACACTTTTCAATTTAAAAAAAAACTTTTTTATATGTAATTTTATAATGCTGTATAATTAACCAAGGCATTAACCACTGTTTGATGAACATGCAAAATAAAACTTAGCAAAAATGAAAAATGAGAAATAAAACTTACAAAAATGGGATTCCAAGCAGTACACAAGTCAAAAAAAGTTGGGAACCACTATTCTAAACAACATTAAACAGAGATATTTTAAATTATGATCACCCGTATATTACAGTATATTTACCATGCTCTTCGATGTAGTCTATACATTCACGAACAATGGCTGGTATTTCTACTCCATCGTGACAAGGATTTCTTTCGACTGCAATGTGAAGAGGAACTCCAAAAATTGGCTTTTCTTCTGAAAAATTAATAATATTTATTGTTTGTTTATGTCTTTAAATTTAAGAGCAAGCATTTTTACTTAGTATCTTGTTAATAAAAAAATAGCACTATATTACTTTAGGCTTGTACACCAGTTAAATACAATGTATAATTATTTCATATTTTTAGATCAGGATGAAAACAAAAGAAATAATGAATTAATAAAATAAATTTAGACATTATAGAAGAATTTGTCAGAAATTTGATTAATTTATCAATTTTAAAGGGTAAATTTAATTACAAGACATTTTCTTACATATAGTGTTACACAATAAAGTTAAAAATATATTATTTTTGAAAAAGGCAAATTTAGTGATTATTAAACATAACAAAAAAAAATCACTATACAGTCGACCCCCCTATAACATACGTTCCTATAACGACAATTCCTATAACGTAGCGAAAAAATTGTAGAAACTTTCGTATAAAGTACCTCCTATAACGTCGTTTCGCAACAAGATTGATAGAGTCTGGACCAATAGTGGATGAGCAGCCAAACTACTTACCTCCGACCCTGTGCCACGCTACGGAGCGGCTAAATTGAGTTTGCTATCGTCTGTTTAGTATTATATATAAATTATATATAAATTAGGTACTGTACATATAATTATATATTAATTATATATAAATTAGGTACTGTATATATAATTATATATTAACTTAATTTATTGTAACTTTATTATAATTATATATATGCTTTCTGCCGCCTGGCAACACGCTACGGAGATTTTAGGCTAGTAAGTTGAGTTTATTATCGTCTGTACAGTATGTAAATTAGGTACCGTAAGTCTAATACAGCACTAATTTTATACATTTCTTGTGAAAGAAACACTTCTTATTCAACGGCCATAAAAATTATTTATATTAATGATGTCTCCAAAGGTCAAGTTATTTTTCTGCGAAAAATTCGTTATTAGAAATCGCGGCCGCCGTTTCATGTGCTGTTCCGCAACGAAAACCAGCTTTAAGCAACGGCGTAGTCGAACGGTACACACTCGGTAAGTAATCCTATAATTTTTTGTTTATAGCATAGTTTATACGGATTACTCCCAAAAAATTATACGTGTTTTGGAAATGTTGAGTGGAATTAGTCTAGAATCGGTTAATTTTATAGAAGAAAACCTTTCGAACAGCCTTAGTCCGTAAAGTTCCCACCTATCGGGCTGCGATTGGCTCATGTATTTAATCATTCTTACAATGTAAAACTCGATTAGCGTGGAACGTATCTAAGCGTTATAGGGGGGTCTACTGTAATTTGAATGCCACATGACATTATTCAAATTTACACACTGTGAATTATAACGTAATTTTTTCTCCACTTTTTTAACTACAGATATTCTTGTTCAAAGCAATTTAATAGATATATCATTTATTGAAGTGAAAGTGAAATTTATAATTGCTTAATCTTTTAATTTGTAAAGAATGAAAATAAGATGTTACCAAAGATGCAATTTTACATAAGTATTAATACATTTCCATTTGACGTAAAGTATCAATGAAAGGAATCCAAAGAACACCGACTGCCAAAAATCTATTGAATTTAGGTAATGATTACTGGAATAACCACATAAACCTAAAAAATAAAGTTGCTGTTAAAAATAAATCCCAGTCTCAAATAAACTCCAAGATGAAAAGCAAGGAAACATGTGAAGTACTGCCCTATATATGTTTGTAGAAAAGTGTCTCATTGTTTGTGAATAATTTACTTTTTAAAAATTTTCACAAGAAATAAACAGAAGAAAACACAGGGCTTTGTCTTTCTTCATCCTTTTTACACTTTAGGAACAAACAATCTTATGGCAAAATCAACCTTCTATTGTAGGCTCTTATCTGCTTCAATACATAAAATGTAAAATAAAGTTTCCATCGGCAATGGCTAAAATTGTTAATTTTGTGTATATATTAACATTAGTAAAACTAGTTTTTTACTAGTTTTATTAATATTATTACATACTCATAATTGTTACTCATGTTACTATATATCCATAATTTTAACAGAATTTCAAGTATCCACCACAGCTACTCTGGGTTATCTTCAAAAGAGTAAGAAACTGCAAGAAAGAATGTATGTTAAAGAATTGAGGTAGTCTCCAAAAAATTAAAATTACAAGAATAGAAATGTACAAGCTCCTTACATCAAACATTAAAAATAGAAGTAAGAGTAATAACAATTATAAGGACAATGCAGTTCAAATGATTTCTCTTAGAACCCATATCATTTTTGATCAAATCAGAAAAAGAAAAAGATTAACAGAAATCCAAAAACCCTATAGCATATCAATAAGAACAAGCAACCCTGAAAAAACAAATCATACAGTATATAGGAAGCACCGGCAAGACTTCAGATCAAAGGTTAAAATAACAAAAAGACTATCAAAAAGGATGAGATTACCATGGTCCTGGTGGAAAATATATATATGAATAAAACAGCAGAACTGTTGTGGAAGGAAGCTCAGACCGGAAAAAAGAAATGTTCCTATCAGTATAGAGGAGTTGTTAATAGCAATTGCAAGAGACCAAACTGTTAATCAAAATATGGAGAGTCAGATATTGATCAATGGGTTTGGAACTTAAGAACAGTAAGTCAGAAAACAGCAGACAGCAAAGCAGACACCAGAAACAGAACAGAGCAGAATCATAAATGAAAATGCAATGAACTTGTCTGACGGCAATATTACATTTATGTTTTTAGTTTCTTTTTTGTATTTTGTATTTTATCTATCTTGTGTATATTTTATAAACCTAAAATGGCTTTACAATTTTAAACCTATGTTTTGAAATACTCTTAAACCAATGTTCTAATCACATTTTAACATATAATATCAAATATACTAGTTTGAAGTTCTGCTGAGATTGGAGCTTTCAAATGTTTTGTAAGTTCATTTGAGAATTTGTAAATCATATCTGAAGATGAGTCAAAAATACTAAAAAAAAACATTTATACTTAAAATAAACAGACCTCTTTATCAAAAAAGTTTTCATTTTCATATATATTTTGTATGTAATATGGGGTCAAAACAAGCTGAGGTAGATCATGGTATATAGCTAAAGTGATTGAAAAAAATTAATTAATGCACATATGTCTGACAATGTTGACTCTGGTAGAATGTATTTTGGTAATATGTATGTATTTAGATACCATAAACTTTGTCCGATTGGGATCATGATATAACAACCGTTTTTGTTTTCACTTATAAACCTAAATCTAGGCATTTATACGTAAGCTGCTCCTGACATGGAGAACAGACATTGTTTTGACCCAACTTGACACTTGGTTCAAAGAACACTTTGAACCAAGTGTTGCTTGTGATTACTCTTTGCTTCATTTCTTCCCATAGACCATACCTGTAAGGTCTATGGGGAGAAATGCCCTACTGGAAGCTTGTGCTCCCGTCAGCATCGCCTATAGCCCATTGAAACTACTGAGCTCTCTCATCTTGAAAAGACTGTAATAATTCACTTTTAATAGTTTACTTCCAAGAGAGTTGTTTATTATTATTATTGTTATTATGCTGTTTGAAAGCAATTTACATTCTAATTACAAGTTAATATTCAAATTCTTGCTATTGTATGGGCAATAGCCAACTGCTGGATTAACTTATAATTAGAATTCTAAGTTGAGGAATGATTATCAAGTATGAGATGACCTTACAAAAATAAAAGTATTTTTTTATGCACTAATGCATTTAATATGTTGATCATACAATCTCTCAATACTATAATTATTATTTAATGACAGTAAATTACCTGACTTTTTTGTATCAAATTTTTTCTTTTTGTCCTTTTTATCAAATCTTGATAGCTTAATTTTTTTCTTTTTATGTTCTTTCTTACTTTCTTTACTAGACTTATCCTCTTCCTTTTTTGTTTCTTTCAATTCCTTATCTTTAGTTTTTCCAGATCTTTCTTTTTTATCTTTACCAGGAAATTTAAATGGAGCTTTGGTCTTTTTTGTTTTAGCTGGACTTCTAATAAAAATCAAAAATTTTCTTATTTGGTATAATTCAATAAAAATTTTAAATAAAACTTTTTACATATTTTATTATTTTTAGCTTTTAATCAATAAAATAAAATTTCTAGAGAGAAAATATTTCAAATATTTTAATGTAGTAATCAATAGTTTTTGTTGTTATATTTTAAAGTAGCATTTCTCAACCTGTGGTCTGCGATGATGGGATAGGTATTCTGCAGACAAACTTAAACTTTTGTTCAATAGTAATTCACTTTTAACAGTTTACTTCAAACTTAATTAATTATGTTTCCATATGTATTCGAAACATGTTTTTAGATTTATTATGTTATAAAGGACAGTATGTTCCGAATGTTGATAATACCCACATAGGTTTAAAAAATTAGGTCTACACAGGTTGTGCATAGAATTTTTTCAGACATTTTATTGGTTGTTGGGCTTAAGAAGGTTGAGAAATGTTGTTTTAAAGTAATGCCAATGTCAAAAATATATTTCATTAGCAAAATAATTTTTATTTTGCTAATGAATAAAAACTCATCATATCATAGGATTATTATATCAAAAATTTTTATTGTTAATGTTTTAACAAATTAGTACCAATCTTATACAATTAGTTAAGGTATTCTTTTGTTTTCACTAACAACAGATTTTTATATTGTTTCTCAAAAATAACAATCCAATGATCTGAACTATCATATTTCCTGTAAATGTATTAATATATTTAAACAAATATTTGAAATATCATAATAAGTAATAAGTAAATATTTTATTATATATATATATAAATATAAACAACAGAAAGTTTAGTTTATTACGTACTTAGTTTCATCCATTTCATCTTCTGAACTTTCGCCTTCAAAGGCCACGTAACCTTTGTCCTTCTTCGATTCTTTTCTCTCTCGTCTCTTACCTATCAATAATTCTTTTCTGGATACTTTCTCCTCGTCACTATCTACATATTCCAAGGATAAAAGGGTGTATAGAAAAACAATATAAAAACTAAAACACTTTTAAAAATGTAGATCTAACTTAATGTAAAAAAAGTATGTTATATTCTATTGCATCCTTTGTTCGATATTGGATAACAAGCAGTGTGTTTTGAGTCTCTAACATAGATTAAAAGTAACTGATAAGCTATCGGCTTTGTTTATTCCAAGTCAACTGTGAAATTTTAACAATAGCTGACTCACCACTGTACACATTTGATCCATATTTTACTGATTTGGCACGCATTTTGATTTAGATGCCAATAAAATAATTTAAAACAATGATTTCACTAAAATTTTTAAATTTCATTATTTACAAATTCAAAATTAATATAAAGAAATTATAATTAAATTCATCATTTATGCTAGTATGTAATTATCTATTAATTATTTTGTAAGAAAATTCTCCTACTAATCATCTACTTATCACAAAATTTATTATTAAAAAATTTCAGAGAAGTATTTAAAATAAAATGAAATTATTCCTTTGCCACACAAAAGCTATTATATTTAAAACTGACCCCGGTGTAAGTGTGTTTCGCATTCATTTTGTGATTGCAAAACTTGTTTATTTATTATACAAACATTAGAAGAATACAAATAAAGTCAAATATAGTTACAAAATACTTTTAACTTGTCAATTCAAATAGTTATAATGAATATTTCTATAATAGTTTTCAGTTCATATTTACACATGTTCAAAAATTTTTGAAAAATACACAAACAGAATTAAAAAAAATTAAAATTTTTAATAATTTACAAATTGTTTATCATATAAAAACTAGAAAATAGATTTTAAAATTATTATCTATCTAGTTCAAGTTATAAAATAATTTTTGTTTGGAGTATATATTTTTTTAATTTTTATAAAATAGCTATTTCATAAAATTGTAAGAAAATTATTTCACCTACCTGCATGTAATTTAATTTATCATTATCTATAATTGTGAAACAAACATATGATTAGACCAGTGATTCTTACCATCTATGAGGCTGCGGAATGTCACTTATATACTTTTTATTACATGGAGCATCAGCATCAATGTATTCAAAAATTGATAAAAAAATTCCATGTTTACTATTCTCACAAAACAATGAAGCAATAAAGTAATAAACTTTATTGTATTGTATAAAATAGAAACATGGAATTGACTACAAATAAAGCAGTATGTTATAGTACAATGGAATAAATTTGCAATAATAATTTTAAAATTTGTTTTTTCATGGGACACTGGAGGTGAAACTGTCATTTGTGGAAAACCATTTGAGAACCACCAGATTAGATCTAACAGATATTTGAAATAAAACTTACTCTTGTAAATGCAATTCTAAATAGCATTATTCTTAGGACAAAACTGTTCTTATAATTTAAATATTGAAGTAAAATATTTTCAGGTTTAAAATATTTTACACAATAAAACAGTCAATACAATATTTTTGCATTTAGAATATTACATTAAATTTTTACCTTATCATAAGTTTCAAATTATCAAATAATGTATGATAAACGAATAAATGTATATTAAAAAACAAAAATGAATAAACACGTAAAAGATCATCTTTATATTTATCACAGTCAGTTGACCGTGACAAACAAGACCTAAGACAGAACACAACTGGACATCACAATTTCTTGCAACATAACATTGGAATGGTTAATTAATGTAGTTGCAAGTTTGTTTCCGCTTGGTTGCTCGTGACATCAACTATGACATTATTTTTGTATCCAATCAGAATTTTAACATGTTTCCTCTTTGCCTTTTCAAAAAATACTATATCTAATATGAAAATAAATTCACATGTATCTTGCATTTTCTGTTATTTTGAAAAGTGATGATAAATCAAATATTGAAATTTTATACACATTAGAACAACAGAAAATAGATTAGGGATATTTATTTTTAAAATTTTCATTTATCTTCTTAATTTATTTTTTAATTTACTGTAATTTCATGCAGATAATCCATGGAAATGTATAATCCACAGAAAATAGCCAGAATGGAAATAAAATGCATTTATATACTCTATTGAAAGTATGACACTTACTAGTATGTAGTTTACAAGGTATTATTTCAAACTTTAAAGTACTGTTTCTCTATTTTGTTTTGTTGGGCCGTCGAGAGAAGGAAGCTTGGAATTTTCCAGGCTTAAAAAAAAAAAAAAAAAAACAGGGACCTGTGGTAGTTCCTTTCCATTTATCAATAAATTAATGTTGTTTTTACTAATAATAAATTAAAACTTTTAAAATTATTTTATTAATAAAGAATCATTCTACATATTTAATTTATTCAAAACAATGACAAAATGGGTTCTGTTAAAGAATAAAAGAAACCCATACAAACTCTCAATGGCCCTGCACTTCACTGTAGATGTAATTATAAGATATGTGTAATGAAAAACAGAATATCAAGAGGAAACTAAACAAGAAGGTTATTAAATACTTCTTAACTTAGAAGACTAAGATATATTCAATGTATTTATCATATTAAGAAGATTCACATTTGTTAGGATCTTAGGGTGTAAAAAAATCTCTAAATGTGAAATTCCCATTTGATCTCTCACAAAGAACTACTAGTTGGTTGGTTATAATGGCCTTGAGTGGACTCCAATCACATCCTGCTTGTTCAACTGACCTGAACAAAAGACATCCCTAAATCTCATGCCCACTAGGGTTTCTCCAACAGGATTCTGGCTGTTTATTAACCCGAGAAATCCCACAAATTTCTTAAAAATTCACTTTTTTCTTGTTTTGTGTTAAAGTTGAGGAACTTTTGCAAATAGAAAGTATAATTAACACATAAACTGTCAGAATACATTTGTATTTATAAATTTCAAGCCTGCTTATTAGATTTTTAAATTTTTGCTTATTATGGCATGTCACAGATTGTCAATAATCAATATGTAGCCTNCCGCGACGAAAACCAGCTTTAAGCAACGGCGTAGTCGAACGGTACACACTCGGTAAGTAATCCTATAATTTTTTGTTTATAGCATATTTTATACGGATTACTCCCAAAAAATTATACGTGTTTTGGAAATGTTGAGTGGAATTAGTCTAGAATCGGTTAATTTTATAGAAGAAAACCTTTCGAACAGCCTTAGTCCGTAAAGTTCCCACCTATCGGGCTGCGATTGGCTCATGTATTTAATCATTCTTACAATGTAAAACTCGATTAGTGTGGAACGTATCTAAGCGTTATAGGGGGGTCTACTGTAATTTGAATGCCACATGACATTATTCAAATTTACACACTGTGAATTATAACGTAATTTTTTCTCCACTTTTTTAACTACAGATATTCTTGTTCAAAGCAATTTAATAGATATATCATTTATTGAAGTGAAAGTGAAATTTATAATTGCTTAATCTTTTAATTTGTAAAGAATGAAAATAAGATGTTACCAAAGATGCAATTTTACATAAGTATTAATACATTTCCATTTGACGTAAAGTATCAATGAAAGGAATCCAAAGAACACCGACTGCCAAAAATCTATTGAATTTAGGTAATGATTACTGGAATAACCACATAAACCTAAAAAATAAAGTTGCTGTTAAAAATAAATCCCAGTCTCAAATAAACTCCAAGATGAAAAGCAAGGAAACATGTGAAGTACTGCCCTATATATGTTTGTAGAAAAGTGTCTCATTGTTTGTGAATAATTTACTTTTTAAAAATTTTCACAAGAAATAAACAGAAGAAAACACAGGGCTTTGTCTTTCTTCATCCTTTTTACACTTTAGGAACAAACAATCTTATGGCAAAATCAACCTTCTATTGTAGGCTCTTATCTGCTTCAATACATAAAATGTAAAATAAAGTTTCCATCGGCAATGGCTAAAATTGTTAATTTTGTGTATATATTAACATTAGTAAAACTAGTTTTTTACTAGTTTTATTAATATTATTACATACTCATAATTGTTACTCATGTTACTATATATCCATAATTTTAACAGAATTTCAAGTATCCACCACAGCTACTCTGGGTTATCTTCAAAAGAGTAAGAAACTGCAAGAAAGAATGTATGTTAAAGAATTGAGGTAGTCTCCAAAAAATTAAAATTACAAGAATAGAAATGTACAAGCTCCTTACATCAAACATTAAAAATAGAAGTAAGAGTAATAACAATTATAAGGACAATGCAGTTCAAATGATTTCTCTTAGAACCCATATCATTTTTGATCAAATCAGAAAAAGAAAAAGATTAACAGAAATCCAAAAACCCTATAGCATATCAATAAGAACAAGCAACCCTGAAAAAACAAATCATACAGTATATAGGAAGCACCGGCAAGACTTCAGATCAAAGGTTAAAATAACAAAAAGACTATCAAAAAGGATGAGATTACCATGGTCCTGGTGGAAAATATATATATGAATAAAACAGCAGAACTGTTGTGGAAGGAAGCTCAGACCGGAAAAAAGAAATGTTCCTATCAGTATAGAGGAGTTGTTAATAGCAATTGCAAGAGACCAAACTGTTAATCAAAATATGGAGAGTCAGATATTGATCAATGGGTTTGGAACTTAAGAACAGTAAGTCAGAAAACAGCAGACAGCAAAGCAGACACCAGAAACAGAACAGAGCAGAATCATAAATGAAAATGCAATGAACTTGTCTGACGGCAATATTACATTTATGTTTTTAGTTTCTTTTTTGTATTTTGTATTTTATCTATCTTGTGTATATTTTATAAACCTAAAATGGCTTTACAATTTTAAACCTATGTTTTGAAATACTCTTAAACCAATGTTCTAATCACATTTTAACATATAATATCAAATATACTAGTTTGAAGTTCTGCTGAGATTGGAGCTTTCAAATGTTTTGTAAGTTCATTTGAGAATTTGTAAATCATATCTGAAGATGAGTCAAAAATACTAAAAAAAAACATTTATACTTAAAATAAACAGACCTCTTTATCAAAAAAGTTTTCATTTTCATATATATTTTGTATGTAATATGGGGTCAAAACAAGCTGAGGTAGATCATGGTATATAGCTAAAGTGATTGAAAAAAATTAATTAATGCACATATGTCTGACAATGTTGACTCTGGTAGAATGTATTTTGGTAATATGTATGTATTTAGATACCATAAACTTTGTCCGATTGGGATCATGATATAACAACCGTTTTTGTTTTCACTTATAAACCTAAATCTAGGCATTTATACGTAAGCTGCTCCTGACATGGAGAACAGACATTGTTTTGACCCAACTTGACACTTGGTTCAAAGAACACTTTGAACCAAGTGTTGCTTGTGATTACTCTTTGCTTCATTTCTTCCCATAGACCATACCTGTAAGGTCTATGGGGAGAAATGCCCTACTGGAAGCTTGTGCTCCCGTCAGCATCGCCTATAGCCCATTGAAACTACTGAGCTCTCTCATCTTGAAAAGACTGTAATAATTCACTTTTAATAGTTTACTTCCAAGAGAGTTGTTTATTATTATTATTGTTATTATGCTGTTTGAAAGCAATTTACATTCTAATTACAAGTTAATATTCAAATTCTTGCTATTGTATGGGCAATAGCCAACTGCTGGATTAACTTATAATTAGAATTCTAAGTTGAGGAATGATTATCAAGTATGAGATGACCTTACAAAAATAAAAGTATTTTTTTATGCACTAATGCATTTAATATGTTGATCATACAATCTCTCAATACTATAATTATTATTTAATGACAGTAAATTACCTGACTTTTTTGTATCAAATTTTTTCTTTTTGTCCTTTTTATCAAATCTTGATAGCTTAATTTTTTTCTTTTTATGTTCTTTCTTACTTTCTTTACTAGACTTATCCTCTTCCTTTTTTGTTTCTTTCAATTCCTTATCTTTAGTTTTTCCAGATCTTTCTTTTTTATCTTTACCAGGAAATTTAAATGGAGCTTTGGTCTTTTTTGTTTTAGCTGGACTTCTAATAAAAATCAAAAATTTTCTTATTTGGTATAATTCAATAAAAATTTTAAATAAAACTTTTTACATATTTTATTATTTTTAGCTTTTAATCAATAAAATAAAATTTCTAGAGAGAAAATATTTCAAATATTTTAATGTAGTAATCAATAGTTTTTGTTGTTATATTTTAAAGTAGCATTTCTCAACCTGTGGTCTGCGATGATGGGATAGGTATTCTGCAGACAAACTTAAACTTTTGTTCAATAGTAATTCACTTTTAACAGTTTACTTCAAACTTAATTAATTATGTTTCCATATGTATTCGAAACATGTTTTTAGATTTATTATGTTATAAAGGACAGTATGTTCCGAATGTTGATAATACCCACATAGGTTTAAAAAATTAGGTCTACACAGGTTGTGCATAGAATTTTTTCAGACATTTTATTGGTTGTTGGGCTTAAGAAGGTTGAGAAATGTTGTTTTAAAGTAATGCCAATGTCAAAAATATATTTCATTAGCAAAATAATTTTTATTTTGCTAATGAATAAAAACTCATCATATCATAGGATTATTATATCAAAAATTTTTATTGTTAATGTTTTAACAAATTAGTACCAATCTTATACAATTAGTTAAGGTATTCTTTTGTTTTCACTAACAACAGATTTTTATATTGTTTCTCAAAAATAACAATCCAATGATCTGAACTATCATATTTCCTGTAAATGTATTAATATATTTAAACAAATATTTGAAATATCATAATAAGTAATAAGTAAATATTTTATTATATATATATATAAATATAAACAACAGAAAGTTTAGTTTATTACGTACTTAGTTTCATCCATTTCATCTTCTGAACTTTCGCCTTCAAAGGCCACGTAACCTTTGTCCTTCTTCGATTCTTTTCTCTCTCGTCTCTTACCTATCAATAATTCTTTTCTGGATACTTTCTCCTCGTCACTATCTACATATTCCAAGGATAAAAGGGTGTATAGAAAAACAATATAAAAACTAAAACACTTTTAAAAATGTAGATCTAACTTAATGTAAAAAAAGTATGTTATATTCTATTGCATCCTTTGTTCGATATTGGATAACAAGCAGTGTGTTTTGAGTCTCTAACATAGATTAAAAGTAACTGATAAGCTATCGGCTTTGTTTATTCCAAGTCAACTGTGAAATTTTAACAATAGCTGACTCACCACTGTACACATTTGATCCATATTTTACTGATTTGGCACGCATTTTGATTTAGATGCCAATAAAATAATTTAAAACAATGATTTCACTAAAATTTTTAAATTTCATTATTTACAAATTCAAAATTAATATAAAGAAATTATAATTAAATTCATCATTTATGCTAGTATGTAATTATCTATTAATTATTTTGTAAGAAAATTCTCCTACTAATCATCTACTTATCACAAAATTTATTATTAAAAAATTTCAGAGAAGTATTTAAAATAAAATGAAATTATTCCTTTGCCACACAAAAGCTATTATATTTAAAACTGACCCCGGTGTAAGTGTGTTTCGCATTCATTTTGTGATTGCAAAACTTGTTTATTTATTATACAAACATTAGAAGAATACAAATAAAGTCAAATATAGTTACAAAATACTTTTAACTTGTCAATTCAAATAGTTATAATGAATATTTCTATAATAGTTTTCAGTTCATATTTACACATGTTCAAAAATTTTTGAAAAATACACAAACAGAATTAAAAAAAATTAAAATTTTTAATAATTTACAAATTGTTTATCATATAAAAACTAGAAAATAGATTTTAAAATTATTATCTATCTAGTTCAAGTTATAAAATAATTTTTATTTGGAGTATATATTTTTTTAATTTTTATAAAATAGCTATTTCATAAAATTGTAAGAAAATTATTTCACCTACCTGCATGTAATTTAATTTATCATTATCTATAATTGTGAAACAAACATATGATTAGACCAGTGATTCTTACCATCTATGAGGCTGCGGAATGTCACTTATATACTTTTTATTACATGGAGCATCAGCATCAATGTATTCAAAAATTGATAAAAAAATTCCATGTTTACTATTCTCACAAAACAATGAAGCAATAAAGTAATAAACTTTATTGTATTGTATAAAATAGAAACATGGAATTGACTACAAATAAAGCAGTATGTTATAGTACAATGGAATAAATTTGCAATAATAATTTTAAAATTTGTTTTTTCATGGGACACTGGAGGTGAAACTGTCATTTGTGGAAAACCATTTGAGAACCACCAGATTAGATCTAACAGATATTTGAAATAAAACTTACTCTTGTAAATGCAATTCTAAATAGCATTATTCTTAGGACAAAACTGTTCTTATAATTTAAATATTGAAGTAAAATATTTTCAGGTTTAAAATATTTTACACAATAAAACAGTCAATACAATATTTTTGCATTTAGAATATTACATTAAATTTTTACCTTATCATAAGTTTCAAATTATCAAATAATGTATGATAAACGAATAAATGTATATTAAAAAACAAAAATGAATAAACACGTAAAAGATCATCTTTATATTTATCACAGTCAGTTGACCGTGACAAACAAGACCTAAGACAGAACACAACTGGACATCACAATTTCTTGCAACATAACATTGGAATGGTTAATTAATGTAGTTGCAAGTTTGTTTCCGCTTGGTTGCTCGTGACATCAACTATGACATTATTTTTGTATCCAATCAGAATTTTAACATGTTTCCTCTTTGCCTTTTCAAAAAATACTATATCTAATATGAAAATAAATTCACATGTATCTTGCATTTTCTGTTATTTTGAAAAGTGATGATAAATCAAATATTGAAATTTTATACACATTAGAACAACAGAAAATAGATTAGGGATATTTATTTTTAAAATTTTCATTTATCTTCTTAATTTATTTTTTAATTTACTGTAATTTCATGCAGATAATCCATGGAAATGTATAATCCACAGAAAATAGCCAGAATGGAAATAAAATGCATTTATATACTCTATTGAAAGTATGACACTTACTAGTATGTAGTTTACAAGGTATTATTTCAAACTTTAAAGTACTGTTTCTCTATTTTGTTTTGTTGGGCCGTCGAGAGAAGGAAGCTTGGAATTTTCCAGGCTTAAAAAAAAAAAAAAAAAAACAGGGACCTGTGGTAGTTCCTTTCCATTTATCAATAAATTAATGTTGTTTTTACTAATAATAAATTAAAACTTTTAAAATTATTTTATTAATAAAGAATCATTCTACATATTTAATTTATTCAAAACAATGACAAAATGGGTTCTGTTAAAGAATAAAAGAAACCCATACAAACTCTCAATGGCCCTGCACTTCACTGTAGATGTAATTATAAGATATGTGTAATGAAAAACAGAATATCAAGAGGAAACTAAACAAGAAGGTTATTAAATACTTCTTAACTTAGAAGACTAAGATATATTCAATGTATTTATCATATTAAGAAGATTCACATTTGTTAGGATCTTAGGGTGTAAAAAAATCTCTAAATGTGAAATTCCCATTTGATCTCTCACAAAGAACTACTAGTTGGTTGGTTATAATGGCCTTGAGTGGACTCCAATCACATCCTGCTTGTTCAACTGACCTGAACAAAAGACATCCCTAAATCTCATGCCCACTAGGGTTTCTCCAACAGGATTCTGGCTGTTTATTAACCCGAGAAATCCCACAAATTTCTTAAAAATTCACTTTTTTCTTGTTTTGTGTTAAAGTTGAGGAACTTTTGCAAATAGAAAGTATAATTAACACATAAACTGTCAGAATACATTTGTATTTATAAATTTCAAGCCTGCTTATTAGATTTTTAAATTTTTGCTTATTATGGCATGTCACAGATTGTCAATAATCAATATGTAGCCTATTTGTGGCAGAACCCTAAAAATTCTTTACTTGTCGGAACCTGAAATATCTTGAATAATTGCACCGATGCTGTCTTAATTTTTAACCATGCCCAGTAGCTTCAATAACTGTATTATGCCAGGTTGTGCAAATTGGACCAGAATACAAATGAGTATGCAAGTATGAAGTTTTTCTTCATAAACTTGATTATTAAAGCCAAACGAACTGCCGTATTATCAGACTATAAGCTTAATACTGTTAATAAAGCAGCCAAGGTAGACAAATCAAGAATACTAGATATCAAAAGAAGTGCTGTAACACATCTCAAAAACGAACTAGAAATCTTCTAGGCTATAGGTGAAAAAACACAATCCGTCTTCTCTTATATGCATTAAAGACGATTCCACCTATATCAATTGAACAGAAAAAGGCGTTCTTGGTAGGGGGACTTCTCATTACTAAAATAAGAACTGGATCGAGTGATCGGAGTATTGACCATCTTTGCTTTTTAAAATCTTATTATAAAAATTTACAATAATATTTTGTATTGTGTTTTATTTAAATAATGAAAATTATTTTCTATGTTAGAAGTTTGATCTAAGTTTATTTTTTTTCTTTAAATTTTCAACTCAATTCAAAGGCATTTTTGTTGTAAGCAGTTTCCAACAAACTTTAATAAATTTCTTCTATTTGTGAAAATTTCTACCTAATTCAAAAGTAATTTTTAATACATACTTTACACAACATTATTATTATTATTATTATTTTGGAGGTTGAAGGATGTATTAAGTTACATAAAAATGAAAAATAATTATTTTATTCAATTTTAAGATTTATTTTATATTTTAAAAATAATTAATTATATCTCAGGATCCCAGGAAACAGTTCACTTTTTACTCGGAACCCAGGACAAGCAAAATATCAGGAAATGAAAAACCCTAATGCCTACACATAGGTGTAACCTGACTGGACCCATGCAAAAACAACTAATCCAATACCTCCCCTTTTAAGAAGAAAAAACTGACTAAATTGGTGGTTTATGCAGTGTAATAGTTCTTTCCAAAACAGTTGATTTAAAGTCATCCAATTGGGATCCAAGTGCAAGCCAATTGATGCAAACGCTGTGGTGCTAAATTCTCGAGCAACGTTTCTTCGATGGTGAATGGTGTCTCAAATGACGGGGACTCGTCATCCTGTTGGGCGAGTCTCTCAACCCAATGCTCTAATTCTGGAGTCACAACGAGACATAATAGGCTGGGGAAGGCTTCCGTGATGACAGCAAAGGGGTCACTCTCAGACTGCAGTTGGGAAGATTGTCTCCGTACAAGTTGGCTGATGTGAAATCACTGAATCAATCCATCATCATTTCCACTTCGTATTCAGTGTTTCCAGCTTTGTGCTTGATTGCTCCCACCTGCCAATTTTGAGAGCGTCGATGTCGTGCAAAGACAATCTCCTTAGCTGCAAAATTTCACTCCTAGCTTCATGCTTGCAGTTGAATTGCCTCGCCATTTTGATGTTGTGCTCTGTTGAATATTTTGGCAGCAACAATAGGTTGAGAATGTTCAAATCTTGCATATGAAGAAGAATTCGACTGGAGATTTGCTGTCTGGTAGAGTCAAATTTGGAGTTATTCGATAAGTCTCCAGAAATATGTCCAAAGCGTGTTGTATGTTTCCCTTGCATTTTAACTTGAGGAGTATTTGCTTCAGTGTGTCAATGAATCATTCTGCTTGCCTGTAGATTGCATAGGGTATAGGGCAGCAAAAAGATGTGCGTGCTTGATTCTGTGCTGGTCACAGAATCTTTTGAATTGGTACAAGCTGAACAGCACTCCATTATCACTAACAACTACTTCTGGCAGTCCGTGACAAACAAGGAGTTTCTGCAGCATGCTGATCATTGCAAGAGACGTAGTTTTGTCCATGTTGATGATTTCTGGATACTTGGAATAGTCATCCACCACAACAAGATAACTTTGGCCCTGGTAAGGTTCTGTGTATTCAATGTGGATACACTGCCATGGTGTAGCAGGTTTTGGCCAAGAGAATAGCTTGAAAGTTACTGATTGTTTGGCTGCTGCGATACATGGAGAGCATTATCGTATGGTTGACACAATGTTGAGGTCTATATTCGGCCAATAAACGTAGTGGTGAGCTAGAGATTTCATGCACTAGATGCTGGGGTGTCCACAATGTAGAAGTTTAAGTACCCTACATTGCAGTACTATGGGAATAATAATGCATTCATTGTAGAGGAGACATCCCTTTTCGATGCTGAGTCTATCCTGTCGATGGTAGAATTGATGAATTTGAGCCCAGTTAGAGGACTCTTGAAGTTTCTCGACATTCAGCCACTTTGAAGTGATATACAACCTGATCGTTTGAAAGAGTTGATCCGGTTTTGTTTGCTCACACAGTTTGTTAAAGGTTACTGGAAGTTAGGATGACATGGCTGTAAGGTCCTCCTCAACTTGGATGGTTGCCATGACCATTTCTTCATTCCTGAATGGTTGAGAGGAGATGAGGCACGACAAGGCATCTGCTTATCCAAATTCTGTAGTATTCCAATATTCAATCTTGAAATTGTATCAAGAAGAGTCATTGCCCAGTACTGCAAACAGTTGGTAGTGTGTATTGGTATACCTTTCATGTTGCTGAAGATGGCAAGGAGAGGTTTGTGGTCTTTGAGAAGAGTGAAAGGTCGTCTGTAAATCATCTTGTGGAACTTGTGAATGGCGAAGATGAGTGCAAGACCCTCTTTTTCCATTTGACTATAGATCGTCTCAACTGGAGAGAGTGTTCAAGAAGGGTGAGCAATAGCCTTGATTGATCTGTCGAGCAGGCAGTGTTGGATAATGGCATCAAGTCCCAGGCTTGATGCATCTGCTGTGACAATGATGTCGAGTGTTGGACCATAGTAAGTGAAAAGTGAATCTGACTTGAGAATGTCCTTGACACACTGAAAGACCTGCTCGCATTTATTTGTCCACTGCCACTTTTGGTCTTCCTGAAGTAATTCATCTAGTGGTTGGTGAATTTGACACATATTATGGACAAAGATTTGGTAGTAGTTTACCATACTGAGGAACAAGCAAAGTGTGGATAGATCTGTCAGCAGTGACATATTGATGATTGTGTCAACCTTAAAGAAGTTCAAATGGCATCCATCCTTATTGACAATGTAACCTAAGTATTTGACGGAATCCTTGAAAAATGCAGACTTCTCCAGACAGATTTGGAATTCATAATTGTGGATGCAACAGAACACCTGGTGGAGATGTCGGTGATGATCGTCCACATTGCCATTAACAATAACTATATCATCTAGATATGCAAAGACAAATGATAGTCCTGAGACCATAGAGTCCATGATAGATTGGAAAATGCCTAGAGCTGACTTCACTCCAAATGGAAGACAAAATTCATAGAATCTTCAATGTGTTGCAATATTGCAGAGTTTCTTCGAAGTGTCCTTGAGTTCCATTTGCAAATAGGTGTCAGAAACGTCTATTTGTCAGAATATTTGGCCAACAATATGTGGAGAAAATGTCTTCTGGAAGTGGTAAGGGGTGCTTATTCAGCTGGAACATGTCATTGAGACCTGTTGCGTAGTCCACACACAGTCATGACAATCTGTTTGGCTTTCTGATCACTATGATGGGAGTAGCCCATTTGATATAGCTGACAGATTTGATGACTCCTATATTCAGTAGGTGTTCAAGTTCCTCTTCCAGTTTCGATCATGAGGCGTACTGGCCTTGTGTTCGACATGTGTGATGTTTGGCTTCAACATTAACAAGGCTTTCAATACCTTGCAGAGTCCCAGTCCTTTCTGAAAAACTTCTGGAAAGTTGCACTGCAATGACTCAATGACTCGAAGCTCATTGTTTGACTTCTGACCAATGCTGACATTATAGACCATAGCAGCAAAAAATTGGAAGTGGTTCATAGTGTTGATCCCAAGGAGGTTGAGAGTTTCTTTCTTGACTACATAGAATAGTTCTTTTTTGCAGACTTTGTTGTGACAGAAGGTGGTGCATCCTTTCCCTAAGAATGGTGGCAAAAGAGTAATTCCACCATACGATCTAGCTCATTCTGTACATAGCTGGAGTGTGGGTTGTCCAATGGCATCGTACGTCGTTTCATCACTAATGTTAATTTCAGAACCACTGTCAAGATACAAATCGACTGAGTGTCCATTAAGCTCAATCCTCACTTTTAGTAGTCATCAGACACTTACAAAATTTTGGATAATTCCTACCTGGGCAGAGCACACTTGCTTTTTCTTTTGAGGTCATCGACTTAATTTTTCGAAATATACTACACGATTGCACTTTTGGCATTTGTGCTTCACATGTGGACAGTCTTTGTACCAATTCCACTCACCACATCGCCTACAAGCACTTGGTGGACAATTTGCCTTCTTGGTCTTTTCTTCCTTGGGCAGGATCTTGGCGTGGATGTTATTAACAAGATGTTCTGTTTCTTTGTATAACTTGTTTTCGAAATGCATCACTATAAACTCTTTGTAGTCATTCATTGCATCGTTGAACATAATATTTTCTCCATCAGAGTTAAGCTTTTGGGGAATTCGAGCACATAGTGACTCGTGGGATCAAGTCCAGTGAGTACAACAAAACAAAAAAACTGTTCTTTCATCTGAGCATGGAAGTTATATCATCACCGGGCCGCTCTCACTCAGGGGCCTTAGTCTCGAGTTTTTCGTGTTACAACTCCCAACGTGTTGAAGGTGTCACGTGGTACTATCNATTTCTAGAGAGAAAATATTTCAAATATTTTAATGTAGTAATCAATAGTTTTTGTTGTTATATTTTAAAGTAGCATTTCTCAACCTGTGGTCTGCGATGATGGGATAGGTATTCTGCAGACAAACTTAAACTTTTGTTCAATAGTAATTCACTTTTAACAGTTTACTTCAAACTTAATTAATTATGTTTCCATATGTATTCGAAACATGTTTTTAGATTTATTATGTTATAAAGGACAGTATGTTCCGAATGTTGATAATACCCACATAGGTTTAAAAAATTAGGTCTACACAGGTTGTGCATAGAATTTTTTCAGACATTTTATTGGTTGTTGGGCTTAAGAAGGTTGAGAAATGTTGTTTTAAAGTAATGCCAATGTCAAAAATATATTTCATTAGCAAAATAATTTTTATTTTGCTAATGAATAAAAACTCATCATATCATAGGATTATTATATCAAAAATTTTTATTGTTAATGTTTTAACAAATTAGTACCAATCTTATACAATTAGTTAAGGTATTCTTTTGTTTTCACTAACAACAGATTTTTATATTGTTTCTCAAAAATAACAATCCAATGATCTGAACTATCATATTTCCTGTAAATGTATTAATATATTTAAACAAATATTTGAAATATCATAATAAGTAATAAGTAAATATTTTATTATATATATATATAAATATAAACAACAGAAAGTTTAGTTTATTACGTACTTAGTTTCATCCATTTCATCTTCTGAACTTTCGCCTTCAAAGGCCACGTAACCTTTGTCCTTCTTCGATTCTTTTCTCTCTCGTCTCTTACCTATCAATAATTCTTTTCTGGATACTTTCTCCTCGTCACTATCTACATATTCCAAGGATAAAAGGGTGTATAGAAAAACAATATAAAAACTAAAACACTTTTAAAAATGTAGATCTAACTTAATGTAAAAAAAGTATGTTATATTCTATTGCATCCTTTGTTCGATATTGGATAACAAGCAGTGTGTTTTGAGTCTCTAACATAGATTAAAAGTAACTGATAAGCTATCGGCTTTGTTTATTCCAAGTCAACTGTGAAATTTTAACAATAGCTGACTCACCACTGTACACATTTGATCCATATTTTACTGATTTGGCACGCATTTTGATTTAGATGCCAATAAAATAATTTAAAACAATGATTTCACTAAAATTTTTAAATTTCATTATTTACAAATTCAAAATTAATATAAAGAAATTATAATTAAATTCATCATTTATGCTAGTATGTAATTATCTATTAATTATTTTGTAAGAAAATTCTCCTACTAATCATCTACTTATCACAAAATTTATTATTAAAAAATTTCAGAGAAGTATTTAAAATAAAATGAAATTATTCCTTTGCCACACAAAAGCTATTATATTTAAAACTGACCCCGGTGTAAGTGTGTTTCGCATTCATTTTGTGATTGCAAAACTTGTTTATTTATTATACAAACATTAGAAGAATACAAATAAAGTCAAATATAGTTACAAAATACTTTTAACTTGTCAATTCAAATAGTTATAATGAATATTTCTATAATAGTTTTCAGTTCATATTTACACATGTTCAAAAATTTTTGAAAAATACACAAACAGAATTAAAAAAAATTAAAATTTTTAATAATTTACAAATTGTTTATCATATAAAAACTAGAAAATAGATTTTAAAATTATTATCTATCTAGTTCAAGTTATAAAATAATTTTTATTTGGAGTATATATTTTTTTAATTTTTATAAAATAGCTATTTCATAAAATTGTAAGAAAATTATTTCACCTACCTGCATGTAATTTAATTTATCATTATCTATAATTGTGAAACAAACATATGATTAGACCAGTGATTCTTACCATCTATGAGGCTGCGGAATGTCACTTATATACTTTTTATTACATGGAGCATCAGCATCAATGTATTCAAAAATTGATAAAAAAATTCCATGTTTACTATTCTCACAAAACAATGAAGCAATAAAGTAATAAACTTTATTGTATTGTATAAAATAGAAACATGGAATTGACTACAAATAAAGCAGTATGTTATAGTACAATGGAATAAATTTGCAATAATAATTTTAAAATTTGTTTTTTCATGGGACACTGGAGGTGAAACTGTCATTTGTGGAAAACCATTTGAGAACCACCAGATTAGATCTAACAGATATTTGAAATAAAACTTACTCTTGTAAATGCAATTCTAAATAGCATTATTCTTAGGACAAAACTGTTCTTATAATTTAAATATTGAAGTAAAATATTTTCAGGTTTAAAATATTTTACACAATAAAACAGTCAATACAATATTTTTGCATTTAGAATATTACATTAAATTTTTACCTTATCATAAGTTTCAAATTATCAAATAATGTATGATAAACGAATAAATGTATATTAAAAAACAAAAATGAATAAACACGTAAAAGATCATCTTTATATTTATCACAGTCAGTTGACCGTGACAAACAAGACCTAAGACAGAACACAACTGGACATCACAATTTCTTGCAACATAACATTGGAATGGTTAATTAATGTAGTTGCAAGTTTGTTTCCGCTTGGTTGCTCGTGACATCAACTATGACATTATTTTTGTATCCAATCAGAATTTTAACATGTTTCCTCTTTGCCTTTTCAAAAAATACTATATCTAATATGAAAATAAATTCACATGTATCTTGCATTTTCTGTTATTTTGAAAAGTGATGATAAATCAAATATTGAAATTTTATACACATTAGAACAACAGAAAATAGATTAGGGATATTTATTTTTAAAATTTTCATTTATCTTCTTAATTTATTTTTTAATTTACTGTAATTTCATGCAGATAATCCATGGAAATGTATAATCCACAGAAAATAGCCAGAATGGAAATAAAATGCATTTATATACTCTATTGAAAGTATGACACTTACTAGTATGTAGTTTACAAGGTATTATTTCAAACTTTAAAGTACTGTTTCTCTATTTTGTTTTGTTGGGCCGTCGAGAGAAGGAAGCTTGGAATTTTCCAGGCTTAAAAAAAAAAAAAAAAAAACAGGGACCTGTGGTAGTTCCTTTCCATTTATCAATAAATTAATGTTGTTTTTACTAATAATAAATTAAAACTTTTAAAATTATTTTATTAATAAAGAATCATTCTACATATTTAATTTATTCAAAACAATGACAAAATGGGTTCTGTTAAAGAATAAAAGAAACCCATACAAACTCTCAATGGCCCTGCACTTCACTGTAGATGTAATTATAAGATATGTGTAATGAAAAACAGAATATCAAGAGGAAACTAAACAAGAAGGTTATTAAATACTTCTTAACTTAGAAGACTAAGATATATTCAATGTATTTATCATATTAAGAAGATTCACATTTGTTAGGATCTTAGGGTGTAAAAAAATCTCTAAATGTGAAATTCCCATTTGATCTCTCACAAAGAACTACTAGTTGGTTGGTTATAATGGCCTTGAGTGGACTCCAATCACATCCTGCTTGTTCAACTGACCTGAACAAAAGACATCCCTAAATCTCATGCCCACTAGGGTTTCTCCAACAGGATTCTGGCTGTTTATTAACCCGAGAAATCCCACAAATTTCTTAAAAATTCACTTTTTTCTTGTTTTGTGTTAAAGTTGAGGAACTTTTGCAAATAGAAAGTATAATTAACACATAAACTGTCAGAATACATTTGTATTTATAAATTTCAAGCCTGCTTATTAGATTTTTAAATTTTTGCTTATTATGGCATGTCACAGATTGTCAATAATCAATATGTAGCCTATTTGTGGCAGAACCCTAAAAATTCTTTACTTGTCGGAACCTGAAATATCTTGAATAATTGCACCGATGCTGTCTTAATTTTTAACCATGCCAGTAGCTTCAATAACTGTATTATGCCAGGTTGTGCAAATTGGACCAGAATACAAATGAGTATGCAAGTATGAAGTTTTTCTTCATAAACTTGATTATTAAAGCCAAACGAACTGCCGTATTATCAGACTATAAGCTTAATACTGTTAATAAAGCAGCCAAGGTAGACAAATCAAGAATACTAGATATCAAAAGAAGTGCTGTAACACATCTCAAAAACGAACTAGAAATCTTCTAGGCTATAGGTGAAAAAACACAATCCGTCTTCTCTTATATGCATTAAAGACGATTCCACCTATATCAATTGAACAGAAAAAGGCGTTCTTGGTAGGGGGACTTCTCATTACTAAAATAAGAACTGGATCGAGTGATCGGAGTATTGACCATCTTTGCTTTTTAAAATCTTATTATAAAAATTTACAATAATATTTTGTATTGTGTTTTATTTAAATAATGAAAATTATTTTCTATGTTAGAAGTTTGATCTAAGTTTATTTTTTTTCTTTAAATTTTCAACTCAATTCAAAGGCATTTTTGTTGTAAGCAGTTTCCAACAAACTTTAATAAATTTCTTCTATTTGTGAAAATTTCTACCTAATTCAAAAGTAATTTTTAATACATACTTTACACAACATTATTATTATTATTATTATTTTGGAGGTTGAAGGATGTATTAAGTTACATAAAAATGAAAAATAATTATTTTATTCAATTTTAAGATTTATTTTATATTTTAAAAATAATTAATTATATCTCAGGATCCCAGGAAACAGTTCACTTTTTACTCGGAACCCAGGACAAGCAAAATATCAGGAAATGAAAAACCCTAATGCCTACACATAGGTGTAACCTGACTGGACCCATGCAAAAACAACTAATCCAATACCTCCCCTTTTAAGAAGAAAAAACTGACTAAATTGGTGGTTTATGCAGTGTAATAGTTCTTTCCAAAACAGTTGATTTAAAGTCATCCAATTGGGATCCAAGTGCAAGCCAATTGATGCAAACGCTGTGGTGCTAAATTCTCGAGCAACGTTTCTTCGATGGTGAATGGTGTCTCAAATGACGGGGACTCGTCATCCTGTTGGGCGAGTCTCTCAACCCAATGCTCTAATTCTGGAGTCACAACGAGACATAATAGGCTGGGGAAGGCTTCCGTGATGACAGCAAAGGGGTCACTCTCAGACTGCAGTTGGGAAGATTGTCTCCGTACAAGTTGGCTGATGTGAAATCACTGAATCAATCCATCATCATTTCCACTTCGTATTCAGTGTTTCCAGCTTTGTGCTTGATTGCTCCCACCTGCCAATTTTGAGAGCGTCGATGTCGTGCAAAGACAATCTCCTTAGCTGCAAAATTTCACTCCTAGCTTCATGCTTGCAGTTGAATTGCCTCGCCATTTTGATGTTGTGCTCTGTTGAATATTTTGGCAGCAACAATAGGTTGAGAATGTTCAAATCTTGCATATGAAGAAGAATTCGACTGGAGATTTGCTGTCTGGTAGAGTCAAATTTGGAGTTATTCGATAAGTCTCCAGAAATATGTCCAAAGCGTGTTGTATGTTTCCCTTGCATTTTAACTTGAGGAGTATTTGCTTCAGTGTGTCAATGAATCATTCTGCTTGCCTGTAGATTGCATAGGGTATAGGGCAGCAAAAAGATGTGCGTGCTTGATTCTGTGCTGGTCACAGAATCTTTTGAATTGGTACAAGCTGAACAGCACTCCATTATCACTAACAACTACTTCTGGCAGTCCGTGACAAACAAGGAGTTTCTGCAGCATGCTGATCATTGCAAGAGACGTAGTTTTGTCCATGTTGATGATTTCTGGATACTTGGAATAGTCATCCACCACAACAAGATAACTTTGGCCCTGGTAAGGTTCTGTGTATTCAATGTGGATACACTGCCATGGTGTAGCAGGTTTTGGCCAAGAGAATAGCTTGAAAGTTACTGATTGTTTGGCTGCTGCGATACATGGAGAGCATTATCGTATGGTTGACACAATGTTGAGGTCTATATTCGGCCAATAAACGTAGTGGTGAGCTAGAGATTTCATGCACTAGATGCTGGGGTGTCCACAATGTAGAAGTTTAAGTACCCTACATTGCAGTACTATGGGAATAATAATGCATTCATTGTAGAGGAGACATCCCTTTTCGATGCTGAGTCTATCCTGTCGATGGTAGAATTGATGAATTTGAGCCCAGTTAGAGGACTCTTGAAGTTTCTCGACATTCAGCCACTTTGAAGTGATATACAACCTGATCGTTTGAAAGAGTTGATCCGGTTTTGTTTGCTCACACAGTTTGTTAAAGGTTACTGGAAGTTAGGATGACATGGCTGTAAGGTCCTCCTCAACTTGGATGGTTGCCATGACCATTTCTTCATTCCTGAATGGTTGAGAGGAGATGAGGCACGACAAGGCATCTGCTTATCCAAATTCTGTAGTATTCCAATATTCAATCTTGAAATTGTATCAAGAAGAGTCATTGCCCAGTACTGCAAACAGTTGGTAGTGTGTATTGGTATACCTTTCATGTTGCTGAAGATGGCAAGGAGAGGTTTGTGGTCTTTGAGAAGAGTGAAAGGTCGTCTGTAAATCATCTTGTGGAACTTGTGAATGGCGAAGATGAGTGCAAGACCCTCTTTTTCCATTTGACTATAGATCGTCTCAACTGGAGAGAGTGTTCAAGAAGGGTGAGCAATAGCCTTGATTGATCTGTCGAGCAGGCAGTGTTGGATAATGGCATCAAGTCCCAGGCTTGATGCATCTGCTGTGACAATGATGTCGAGTGTTGGACCATAGTAAGTGAAAAGTGAATCTGACTTGAGAATGTCCTTGACACACTGAAAGACCTGCTCGCATTTATTTGTCCACTGCCACTTTTGGTCTTCCTGAAGTAATTCATCTAGTGGTTGGTGAATTTGACACATATTATGGACAAAGATTTGGTAGTAGTTTACCATACTGAGGAACAAGCAAAGTGTGGATAGATCTGTCAGCAGTGACATATTGATGATTGTGTCAACCTTAAAGAAGTTCAAATGGCATCCATCCTTATTGACAATGTAACCTAAGTATTTGACGGAATCCTTGAAAAATGCAGACTTCTCCAGACAGATTTGGAATTCATAATTGTGGATGCAACAGAACACCTGGTGGAGATGTCGGTGATGATCGTCCACATTGCCATTAACAATAACTATATCATCTAGATATGCAAAGACAAATGATAGTCCTGAGACCATAGAGTCCATGATAGATTGGAAAATGCCTAGAGCTGACTTCACTCCAAATGGAAGACAAAATTCATAGAATCTTCAATGTGTTGCAATATTGCAGAGTTTCTTCGAAGTGTCCTTGAGTTCCATTTGCAAATAGGTGTCAGAAACGTCTATTTGTCAGAATATTTGGCCAACAATATGTGGAGAAAATGTCTTCTGGAAGTGGTAAGGGGTGCTTATTCAGCTGGAACATGTCATTGAGACCTGTTGCGTAGTCCACACACAGTCATGACAATCTGTTTGGCTTTCTGATCACTATGATGGGAGTAGCCCATTTGATATAGCTGACAGATTTGATGACTCCTATATTCAGTAGGTGTTCAAGTTCCTCTTCCAGTTTCGATCATGAGGCGTACTGGCCTTGTGTTCGACATGTGTGATGTTTGGCTTCAACATTAACAAGGCTTTCAATACCTTGCAGAGTCCCAGTCCTTTCTGAAAAACTTCTGGAAAGTTGCACTGCAATGACTCAATGACTCGAAGCTCATTGTTTGACTTCTGACCAATGCTGACATTATAGACCATAGCAGCAAAAAATTGGAAGTGGTTCATAGTGTTGATCCCAAGGAGGTTGAGAGTTTCTTTCTTGACTACATAGAATAGTTCTTTTTTGCAGACTTTGTTGTGACAGAAGGTGGTGCATCCTTTCCCTAAGAATGGTGGCAAAAGAGTAATTCCACCATACGATCTAGCTCATTCTGTACATAGCTGGAGTGTGGGTTGTCCAATGGCATCGTACGTCGTTTCATCACTAATGTTAATTTCAGAACCACTGTCAAGATACAAATCGACTGAGTGTCCATTAAGCTCAATCCTCACTTTT